CTCGCAAACCCATGTGGCATGCCTCATGGAAAGCCTCAACACGCAGTCACATCCACCTGTTTGACCCAGCTTCCCTAACACTGTGACCAATGGCTGGGAACTCGAGGATATGGTGCTTTGCAAGGCGACAAGCGTGACAAACGCTGTCCACCATGTGATACGAACAGCCATGGTTCTACAAGCACTGGCCACTTTGCTGGGATCGCTCAGTCTGGTCGATTCTAACTAACTAGGGGGCCCCGTGCGAAAGAATAGAAAGCCCAGAAAATACAGGAATTTAAATGGTGCATGAGTTTATGGGTGTTGTTTCTTTCGTTTTTCCTTTTTCCCTTTTCCCTTTGTCCTTGATGCTGCATTGAAAGCCCCTAGAAGGGTAGTGAATATGATGGGGCTTTTTAACCTACGGCATGGAAAGTTTGAACAGATGGGAAACGAAGGATAAGAGAAGGAAGGAAAAGACCACAAAAATTGTAAGTGAAGCGTGAAACTTGCGGGCGAGCGCAGGAAAACACACAATTGTCCAACAATACTTGGGGGTGTGAGCTTCCGCGCTCTCTTCTCACATCTTCATCATAACAAATAGTGGTTGAACTCTCACAACATACTACAAGCGGTCTCAACTGGTGCTTCGTTTCCACGACTCTAGTACACAAGAATACGACTGTCAGGATGTGCACAAGGAATCTTGTAAAATCGCTAGTGAAAGAAAAGAGTTCAAGAGTAGTGAGACCAAAGATCACACCTCCGCGTCAGGACCACAGCTGCATCGAGACCACCAAATTGTACGCTTCACATCCTAAACCTCCTTTAAACCCTAAACCCGCTTTAAACACAAAAGAGCAGAACAAACAATGCCGGCCATCACCGATGCAACTCTGGGAGGCCAGCGGGATCCATATTCTGACCGAGCAGTCTTTGGACACGCTGGCCAGCAGCTGCCCATCCCTGCCGATGTGACGTGTCTGTATAAGTCTGTATGTTGTCTGCTTCTGCTTAACCTTGCTTTGCTGTGCCCTGATCTCAGTAATCTCCCAAGTTCCTTCCCCTACTGCCCTGCTCGCTGCATGCTGGCAGTGGTACTGCAAATTGTGTTTGCGGGCTGCAAGAATCACTCGGCCTATTAAATTTCTGACATGGTGGTCAACACCGCCTTCCTGGTGACACGTGTGTCGCAGAATTCTCACATCAGGTCTTTGCTAAGATCATGTAGCCAGAATTTGAATGGGCTGGCATTGCTTTCTTCTATTGAGTTTTCCGATGTCATGGCTTTCAACTTTCCTGACCATCCAGATACCAAACTCAGCTACACCACCCAGTCTGCTCGGGACCGGCGCACACTGACAAGCTTCGTGACTTAGGCATGGGCCCCGTGAACTTGACCCGGGAAATGCCACCTGAAATGCCACTGACGGTGAAGCTGATCGTGGCAGCACAAGGGCGCTTGCTGGAAGCCGCACGCACTATGTTTGATTGCAGCACCTCTGCGTGTCACAGCGAGGACAATTGTCTGCAGAAGCATAGGCAGTACACATGATGGCTCAGTGCATGCGTGTCGCTCTTCTTACGAGTTGATACCGGCCACCTTCCTTCGACCCTGTGCGCCCACATGCCGAAAGATGCTACAAGCAGTTAATTAAAACACCTGTAATGCGTGACGACTTCGTGTTCACTGCGTCCCTGAGCTAAGTTGGGAGCCTTCATGCCCCTTGAGCGTGAAATGCGCCAGGTTGACGCCCATCACCTGCGAGAAAGGTGCACGACTCCGGTTTGGACTGACAACCGTCTTATTATGACTCAGTTATGACTGCCAGCTTCGCAATCTTCGAGGGGCGTGGCGCCTTTTCTCTGCTCATGCGAGCGAGCTGTGAGCTTGGTTCGATCTTAGCTTCATTTCATGTCATGGCACTTGGTGCACACCGCCAACGCTTGCGCTTCATGGCGGAACTGTGGATGGCGCATCCCGAAGATCCCAGAGTCGGACTGTATGGTCCTTTAACGTCTTGGAATAGCACTCGCATGACAGACCACAGCTGTTTTTACCGGCAGAATTGAAGCATAAGCCCCATCCTCGCCGCCAGTAGCCAGCAGCTCGGAGTTTGTGGGACAAACTGCAACGCTTGACACCTGAGATGAGCTGCTATCACTAGGAACAATCAACACAGCTGCACTTATGCACCTCCAGAGATGATGATTTCTTGAGGCACGTGCTACACCAATGTGGCCCATCAGTCGGCAATCAAGGTTGCCCGAGTCTGCATCCCATACCTGTATTTCATTGCAATTTTGTCCATGCCACTTTGTACTTTGTACCTTTCGGAGCTTGGGCGATCTTGGGCATATCCTCATTGCATGACAAAGCGGTCATTTTTCTCGGAAGCAGCGCATAGCTTGCGGCTACAGCAGTAGGTTACGAGGCTCAAGCCAGCACGGCTCATGGCTATGTACATTCACAAGCAAGAGCCAAGCTTCCAATGCAGAGCTGCCTCAGTAGCTCAGACAGTCTACGTCGATCAACTCTTAGGAGTGCCGTTTTTGCTTGTGTCGGGGGAGGGGGGGGGGGGGGTGGCCGACTGTGAGTTTACTAGTTGAACTTGTGGTTGAGCTCACAAAGCTGCCTGAAAAAGTCGCAGGACTGAAGTCCCAATGGCCCGGCATCGAGCCAACGTCCTCTGCAAAAACTGTACTTTGCTGGTCTCTGTTCGTTATTGTTCGTTGACATTCGGCTTGCATCTGGGCGTGGTGTTTGAAGTGCAGCAATCCTTTCCCGCGGCAGCAATAGCACACGGCCTGCTACGATTGAGGCAACTTGAAAACATGTGCACAGCAGCGTGCAGCTTTGCATGCTCAACACGTCATTCCGTTGAACTAAAAAGGATGAGTCTTAGCATGCGTTCTAATGGTTCCTTTCTCGGCGGAATTTGGATGTTGTCTTCAAGGAAACATGCCACGGCTTGGTTTTGACTTGGCACGTGACGTCTCACTCCGGCTTGGTGCCAGCATGAGAATTGTCGAAAGCTCAGTGTGGCTTGTAAAAGGCCAATGGTCCCCCTCTTGTCTTGCTTGACGTATGTGTGCCCCATGAATTCCTTCACAAGGTAGCTGGTCTTGACTTTGCCGGGAAAGAGCCTTGACCAAAAAAATGGCTTGTTGCGCAATACCACAGAGCCGACACCCAGAACCGCATCAGGAGCTGTTTGGAGCCGGTGTAGTGGCGAAGTGTGAGTGTATGCGAGATTTGCGAGCCCGTGTATGCGAGATTTGCGAGCCTTGTGCCAGTGTAGTGTAGCGCTTGATTGGGATGGCAAATGATGGCAGAAGCTGAAGAATGGAACGCTCGTGGAACACATGAACTCCCCATGTCGACCCCCCCTGCATGCTACTCGACGAAGCCACCATCACGCGGCAAGCCTCCAACCGCAGCCACTCTCAGCTCCAGGCTAATAATTGAACTCACTAGAGAAGATCTGTGCCTGCAAGTTATGGTCAGATTGGTTCTGCTCAAGTACTCATTAGAGATGGTGCTCAGGGGCCAACAATTTGTGTCATGGCAGGCATCCCCCAGATGTGCCTCCGAAGCAGCGCAAAACAGGCAGCCAGCACAAAGCACGCGCCAACACAACAACTGCAAAGAAAGATATGCTGCCTTTTGCTCCCCCCTTGGGGTTTGCATGTTTCGAGTTCCCAAAGCACAGGTCGGACTCAGCTGGGCTGGAGCGGGGGGGGGGGGGGGGGAGGGAAGAGTCACTCGACAAGGCGTTCACACATCAACCCCTCTTCGGCTTTGCACTTCTTCGCATGAGGACCAGAGACATCCAATCTAGACAAAGGGCAGGAGGCAAGGGGAGGGGGACAAGCAGAAACATTTTATTCAGCCTCTTTTCTTTTCGATTTCCTGCTAGTCTTTGAGACAATTCGTCCATGTGTTGCCTTATTGGCTCTGTTCTCGGAGTGCTCTCTTCTCTTGCGGGCGCAATTCTTGAGCTTCGGGTTTCCATTGTTTTCAACGGCAGAGTCGCTTTCTTTGGCAGGCTTCAAGTGCATGGATTGCCTGGACTCGTTTCTGAGGATCGAGAAGGTTTGCGGGGGTTGTCGGGCAGGTTGCGGCAGGAGCTCATGTCCAGCATGTGTGTGTGGCCTTGACCATGGGAAGAGCAGTCCTCGCAGCTGCGGCCTGCACTACCAAGCGTAGTGGTAAAGTGCTAGCGTATGAAGACCACACGAAAGCATTGCTTCTCTGCAAGATTCTGCAAGCGAAGTTCTCCTTGCATTTTACTCGTCGGCCAAATGGACGGAAGAAGCAATGGGAACTACTTTACTTCGAGGTCAGGCCACCGTCAGGAAACCAAGTCGGAGACAGGCTGGGCAGAAAGCATGACCGGCAGATTCAGGAAACACAGCAGCAGTGTCACAAAAACAGGCAGAAACGTCGAAAGCGAGCACGAGACGTTCGGGAAACAGATCGCTCATGACACAACATCGTACAATGCAGAAAGAACTCATCATAGAATTTCGTATCATGAGTCGTAGAATGTTCTGCAGACAAGAATGGAACTGGTCTAACGCACTGCACTATGATCTGATATGATACATCACAGTAATTGAATATACAAAGATATGTACAATCCTGCCCATATAACTGTACATTAACCGCGTTGTGCAATATAAGCCACGCCAAAACCCCAACCCCGACACCGAGACCCCGCACCCCAAGTACCCCAAGTCAAGGATGTGTTACAAGAACAACTCACTGTTGAAGTGGGGAAGTGGTGCCGCCCGTTGTGAATTCCAAGCTCTGGTCGGGACTCACTGCCGTGCTGTGTTTTGCCGTGTCACTGAATGTGGCCAAACTGTTTCCCTGGAGTGCAGCCTCCCTTTTCGCTGAGTACGGCTGTAGTGCTTTCCCCACTCCCGTCCACTGGACATGGCCACCGTTTCCTGAACGTGGCTCCTTTGAATGGGAACCAGGTGAAGTGGAAGATCAGCATGAGCAGCTATGCAGTCTAGGCTTGGCCCGACATTCTATGATATGGTGCGGCTGCAAGTCTGCAAGCTACGAGAATATAGTCTGAACTGTCATGCTGCATCATGGGTTTTCGTAGAGGCCTTGAGGCATTGGGCACGACGAACCAATCGAAGTGATCTACGCCGCCGCCTCATGAAATCTGTCAGTAAATGTGATCGTGCATGTTTTTCAAAGTGTGGCACTGAGGTTGTGTTGCAATGTCCTCCGGCCTCCGGCAACAACACGCGAACGTGGATAGGGCAACTCTGCGTCTTGGGTTGGCCTCGGCCATTGGGGTAGTGGCAGCTGGTATCACATGTATCACTCAATGGAAAGGGGCCAAAGCCAAGTGTTTCTTTTCCAAAACAACGTTAAGCCTGCTGCGTGTGATTCAAGAGGCCTTCCATTCCAAACAGCTGGCGTGCACCTGTGCACTGTAAGAGGAAGCAGGATAGCACAATGCTCCAGCATGATCAAGCCCAGCCCAACCCCGCGCACCTCTAGAGTCTCTGAAGGTGCCCTGTGGGAACGAGATGCCTGGTTTGCTGCATGCAGTGCACGACAGTCACAGGAATATGAGAAAATCATATTGCCAAGCATTGTCACTTGTTCATTTTGGGGCACTTTCTGAGTCACTCGTTAAACAGCTCGGAAGCCCTTCAGTAAATCTTCCAAGTACAGGGACAGCAGGCCAGTCTTTGGCCAAGGCCCACGGTATGCGATGCAAAAAGCGAGCCGATGGAACGCTTTTCCGGGCAAGTTGAGCATGTGACTCACATGTTGGCACATACGATGCCGTACTTTTGGTCTTTCGATTTTGCTGGAGCCGCCTAATGCGCGCGTCCAACACCATGTCCATGATGCGAACACCCTGCCAAACACAGGGCTCGGAAGACCTTCCTCGTATTTCCTCGTAGACGCGCCGTCATCGTCGCGGATAGAATTAGGACCTCGAAGCTCATCCGAGCCACGCATTGCAGGCGCGGCTTTGTGCTCGTGGCTTCCGCTGCCCGCCGGGGGTGTGAGCCGCACGCCAATCGGGACAGCATTGGCCAGCATTCCGGCTCCGCATGACCTTCACAGGCCTCCGGCCAAGGCGGGGCAGTGGATCTGCCGAAATTCCCTCTCTGCTTCTGGCCACCTGCCTCGCTTCTCGGCCGGCCACGTCGTGCCTCTAGCCCTCTTGCTCCAGAAGCAATCCGCGGCACCAGCAACGATGCGACCGAGGCTCACTCGAGGCCTTCGGATCCTTCTAATTACCGACACGAGGGCCCTGCACGACACACAAGGCCTGGATGTCTTCCAGGCTATCCGGAACATGCATGGCAGCAACGAATATTTCGCAGTTGCGCTGCTTTTGCTCGGATAGCTATCGAAAGCGAAAGTCCTAAATTTAAAAATAAAAACCTGTGAAATGCCTCAGGCTGCGGACATTTTGATGCAGTTGCCTGGAATCTCAGATGCCAAAGCAAGAAAAAGTAGCCACGCAGTGAGGCCGAGGCCCATGGCATGCCGAAGTTCCTCTGCGTTGGCCTAGAAGAAACGGAGCCAAGGACATCCGGACATCTTCACAGTATGCGTTGAGCCTGTGCCATGAGATGCAATCCGAAGAGCCTCTGCGACAGCTTTCATGGAAGACACCAGCCTGACAAGAGAGTCCCTGCCGAAGGCTCTAAAACCTTTCGAAGCCCAGCACGCGGGATGCGCATGGATACACATGGATGCAAGTGGATGCAGATGGATGCAGATGGATGGATGCAGCTGATGCACCGGGCCTTGAGGGGTTGATCTCGCTGAATCCGTCTCCCGTGTGGTGCTTCATCAAGGTCTCTCTTAACCTCCACTACTTCTCCACTAGGTTGCATAGCTTGTCGAGTGCCACGAAGCGAGTGCTGGCTATCTGGGAGCAGAACTGCTTGGGAAAGGGACCTCCCCATGTGGTAATTCCCACCTGCCAGTTGACAGGTGACCAACACATTTGCATGTTCGCAGAACCCGCATTTAATCTGCTCTGAAAGCGCTGCACCACTCTTTATGCAATAGTTTCGCTTCCACCTTCTGACACAGCCTTGACATGAGCTTGGGCTCAATCTAACTGACTTCTACTATAGCCCGGCTGCACCGGGGGAGCCGAAGTTCCGCAAACTGAGGCATGACACAAGTTGGGCGAGTCACATTTGTGGATGGTGGAAACTGTGACAGACACACATATTCATGACGGCTCCACAGCTCACGTCCTTCCGTTTCATTGTTCATTGCGTTAGGCGGTGCGACCAGTTCCCAAGGCTTCCCTGGTGACAGCTCGGGCATCGTGCACCAATCCAACCAAATAACTTCGAGTACCCTGACAAAACACAACTGAAGAAATGAAACTAGAAAACTGGCTTCACTGTAGTTCATGGCAGGTTCGACACCACACTTGCCTCCGCGTCTCGATCTCCTAGCAGCGACCGGTCGTTGATGTTGGCCTGAGACCCACAAGCACACCGACAACTTGTTGACTCGAAACCTGCCAAGCTGTGCCAGTTCACCTCCACGATTGTGTGTAGGCTAGGCCGTGACTTAGCATGGTGCCGGCCGTTCAGCACCATGTTTGCACAAAGATGTGGAAAGGGCGGTATTGTCTTCATTCAGCATGTGGCTTATTGACTCCGTGCCCGTACTAAACTCAAAGTGGGTGACAGCCACGTGTTTCTGCTAGATGCAACCAGCATCGCACCAAATCCGAAACCTACCTTCTAATGTGGCAATCTTGCATGCCTGGCAACTCTCTAATGGCACGGGGCTGTAAATTTGGGCTGACACTCACTTTAGTGATGATCCGCCTGGACGGGTAGTTCCCTCTGCCTGCAGCTGGCTTTACCAACACCAGCATGGGTTTATTGAGCCAGGCACGAGTGCCTCCCTGCTCTTCAGTCGCACCCTTCTCGTCTTCAACTGGCCCTGCTTGACACTTCCCTCAGGCACAAAACAGATGCAAGCATGTGGCAGAACCAACGTACGAGATCTCGTCGTCAACCACAATCGCCTCTGCACGAAGGACTCTCATTTTCCAAGCAGACTGTTGCATTTTCTACCTGCCTTTGTGTGCGTGAAGATTCCATAGAAGGCAGCTGCAGGACCCCCGAAGGGTCTCTCAACGTGAACAGCCTCAAAGAAGGGCAACAGACTGAGACATCAGCGGAGTGGGAGTGCAGATGAGTGCAGATGAGTGCAGATGAGTGCAGATCAGAAAGTTGGCCTGTTGATGGCCTGTTGATCCATGTGTGTCCCTGTTGGGAGCTCCGTGTGCTCTGTGCTTCTGGTAGGGTGCGCCAACACCGGGTGCCCATGCTCATGCCGTGAGCATATGCCACTCCTCCTGCCGCTTGCTTGTGCAGATGAGCTGCATTCGCGAGGAAGAAAAAGGAGAAGTACTCCCGCCAGTCCGACTCTATGGCGTGAGCCTGTGTAGTTCATGGGACGAAGATGGTCCCATGCCCATGCGATACAGAAACTCGATTTGCTGTCGCAGGTACAAGATCGTACACTACAGCACGCCTTCCAGAAGTCTTCCACTGTTTGCTCAAAGCAGTAGGCCCCTCGCAGGTTCCTGCATAGAGTTAAAGATCTGCATGTCTCAGTCTTAGCAGGCTTGTCTCTGAGATCAGGACGGGTAGAACGAGCCAGGCCTGAATTGGAAACAAACTTGCAGCATGCATGGCCTTGTCCGCTCAGACCTCTTGATCATTGCAGGGTCGTGGGCAGGTGGGCAAAAGCCAAAAGCATGCTCAATGCCCCCAAGCCACCCCTCCTGCATGCACAAGCTGGCAAGCAAAGCGACTTGCAGCACCACAACTATCTTGCTAGCCAGTTCTGGCTGCAATGCACTTAAATATGCCGTACCTCTGGCATGCATGTGCACAAACCAAGGCAGAAAGCAGCAAAACCAAATCAACACCGAGTTTAGACTTTGATCGGCCTCACCGGGAAACCCAGCACAGTAGGAAGGGGCACAGCATCAGAACGACAAAGGTGTAAATCAAGTCGGCCAATGCCGGCACAGGCCATTAGTTGATGTCCACGGCACCATCGCCAGATCTCTCCACGCAACCCAAACAAGCGGACAAAGCCGAACAAGCGCAAGAGCAACGTATTCCTCACGGAGCAGCGATGAGCAGCACAGTTTCTGTCCAGTGCGCTTGTCATTAAAGACTTTCGATCTGAGCCGTCGGCTCAGTGCCAAGCGGGAAGATGATGGCCTTCATGTTTGCAAAGAGTAGTGACACTACGAAATGAATGCGGGGGTTCTGGTTGGATATCGTTGGACAGCCGCAACTCGTAGCCAGCCATGGCCACAGCCGTATCTTGACACGTTGACTGACACTTCTATACATCGTTTTCAAATCACACTGTGATGACATGGGCTTTCGGGTCAAAATCACAATTGGACAGTGATGGAGATTGCACCGGTCTGCTGCATGTGCCTTGCAGTCTAGCCTTCAGCAGCATTTTCGTTGCATGGTAGTACTCGCAAAATTTGAGTACTGTAAACAACACCTCAGCTGCCTGGTATGTGCGGGAGATTCTGGTTTGAACGTGCATTGCGGCATATTGCGGCAGTATCACTTCTGCACGTACCAAGCTGGATCTTACATGGTGGTAGTCCCTCCTCCTGTATCCTGGCTTAGCGCGTCCTTGCCTTGCATCACGAACCTTGGAAGCGGAAACGCCTCCACATGGGATGATCTTGGGTGCGCTTGGATTACTTATGTACTGGAGGGGCTTTCTCTCGCAGCCGCTTGTTTTTGCATTGTGGAGGTCAATTGGAAGCCTGTGGCGAAGCATTTTGGAACTCGGATCCCAAGCCGATAATCAGCTTCAAATGCCGTCCAAGGTCTGCACAACTGTGTTGGATTTCAAGATCGCACGGGCCAGCGCACTTTGAGAAAAGCACATTCATGAGTCGTGTTGCCTCAAAGGAGACATGCAGGTCCAGCTTCGTCTGTGGCTTGGGGATTCTAGATTAGTTCTAGAAAACGTGTTCACGGGTGTTGGCACGCTGGCTTTGGGTGCTTGCGGGCTTAGACCATCACTTGCGCTGCAAATACACAAGCAAACATCGAGGCCCTGGCAACAGAAAAGCTCTCCTTGAGCAACGCGGCATGCTTGATACGATCCAGCAACACCTGGTCGTGGGACAAGGCGCAAAATGCTGCCCAGTCTGTTTCGCGACTGGATGCGCGGGTCAGTTTGCATCATGCTCTCTGCTCCACCGACCCCGGCCACCAGGCACTTCGTGTTTCACCTACCAATACACCACCAGACCATGAAAGCTGAAGGTGACAGTCGCACTCACCAAACGCTTCAGTCCAGATACTGATGGGAAGGACACAACCACCCTGAATGCCAGGCAAAGTCCAACAGATAAGGTTCTTCTCTCAAAGATTCAAACCTACCATAACCATAGCACAAGCAGGAGCACTCCTCTGCTACGCGGTTTGTAGCACCGCTGTACCTGGGCCATCTGTCAATGCAAGACCAGTTTGATTTGTCACAACACACACACACACAAAAGAGGGATCGTCGATACACAGCCATGATGCAGGACGGCAGAGGTTTGATGCGCATGCTGACCTCATCCGGCGCTCGGCGTGCATTGCTCGGCCGCTACAAGCACACGGCCAAGATCTGAGGCGGCAACACTCCGGTGAAGATGACGGAAAGTCGCTGGAAAAGTACTGATTCTCAATGAATACGAACCTCCGGCAGAGCTTCACAGGAACATCGATCACAAGATCCTGCAGGTCTGTGTCAAATTTGTGTACACAAGAGACCATCAGGACTCTGGTGACCTCTCATGGGTATCCATCTGATCATGCTAGGACAAGACGAAAGAACCGTGTCAGACAACCAGCGCTGATGCCTCTTTGCATTCCGAATCATGTTGAGAAACACCGTGTAACTCTCCTGCATGGTGCACTAACTGGAGTCTGAACGGCTCTGCTCCGAAAGGCTCCAGTCTACGAGCACGCCTGCACTTGTGTTATTTTGGACAAATCAAGATTCCGACACTCCTGAACGATGGTCGACGTGCCTCATAAAACAGAAAGCGCAGTCAGGTACAAATCGAAACAACAGGCAAGCACCTGTCTGTGGTGGCTGACTGGCATGCACCGGAAGAATCAAAATCTGGGATGCACGCCCATCCACATGTTGGAACCAGACAGTGTGACTTTGCACATCTGCTCTCCTTGTTCGCCTGCACCTTACCACTCCGAAGAATCTTGCACTGTAAGCGTGCGATACAGCTGTCAATAACGGTGGTCCGCCTTCCGGCAGCCACTTCGCAGTGAGAGTGGAGCCATCATGATGAAGGGTCTGCCAGTGCACAGCTGATCTAGAAAGCCATCCACACAAGTTTCCAGGACTGCGCCAACCTGTGTAGTATTGAACACCCGCATACCTGGGCGGCAAAGGCCCGGGTCCCGAGAATATGTGGCCTTTTGAATGCGAAAAATGCAGTGGAGCGGCTGATGCCATCCATTGAGATGGTTATCCCTCCAGGGACCTCTTGTACACTTTAGGCTCCAGCGTATGCATTGATTGGCAACACTGTGCCTTCGCATCCAGTGCATGAAGGCCAACAACATCCACCTTGGTTTCTCTGAGTGACAGCGCGTGACTGAGCATCACACGTAACAGACTCAACAGACATATGTCGCCTCTTCAGCCTGACCTCTCCGGAGCCTGACGAACCTTGGAAGCATCATGTCGCAATGCTCCACGAATCTTCCCTGACCTTCTCTCACCTTCCCACTACCTCTGACAGGGCTCTGAAACGTCTCAGCCGGAGACTTGTCTGCATTTGCATCCAAATACTGGCTCTGTATCTGATCGCATGGAAAGGGCTCATAACTTCAGTGCTTAGGTCTTGGTAAGCTCTGGTGAGTTCACAGCCTGTGGAGTCTCGATCCTGATTTGGCGGTCCTGCATGTTTCCCGCAGCCAAGGGCAGCACTCTTCTGGACTGCAGCGCTCGCTTCGACTCGTCATCTGGAGATGATAACTTTCAAACTCTGTCTACTGCCCCTCCTCATGAGAGCTGTTCAGCTTCAGCTGCAGTTGCCCCAGGACGCCGTTATTCGGCATCTGGTCGCCTTGCAACAGCTCCATGCCTGCTGTCAAGCCTGTGTCAATTTTTTGCAATCTTTTGCACTTTTCCACTCCAAGGTGCATTGCCAATCTTTCCACTGGCTACCATGCAGGGCACCTTTGACCTTGGATCGTCAAAACATCGCGGGGCATGCTCTGCTCAAGGCATCTCAAGGCCACACCTGCCACACGGTGCTGTCCAGAATCCTGAGATTCTCAGCACGGCCGCACCAGCACCACACAGACCACAAGGAACTCACCGAGGCAAGCTTCGCTGAAAGAGGTCGCAGCGCTTGAGCACGTGCTGATCCGATGGATTTGCAGTACGTCCTGTCATATCTGTCATGTATGACATTCTCGAAATGAGATTCGACGAACAGCCGGTCCCAAATGAACATGAATAAGCCGGCTGATCGAGCTGTTTCCGCTCGGCTTATTCAGAGTACCCAAGTGCTTGAAGTATCCAAAACTTCCGGCCATGACCAAAACTTGGCATTCATTGCACCATCTGCTAAGAAAAATGGGAAACACATGCAAAGGAAGTGTTACATGAGATCTGTCCAGCATGTTTATGAGGCTTTGTTGTCAAGCGCAGTCTGGCAGAGTCTGGCAATGCTTCTTCTGAGGTGTCTCTCCCATACCCATACAGCTTCATATACGCGAGTTCGCACAGCGTGATTTGCACAGAACCGTGGCATCCGAAACATAAATTGTTCTATGCCCATGCCAAGAACTCCTACAGTATGCCAGTTCGCATTCATGCCAGCGCACCACCAGCGCTCCACCATGATCATGGCGACTTGTTCGGCTGCGCGACCTGTCACCTGATGCGCGTAGGTCTGCTACTGCCACCATGGGAATGGTAACAAGTTCCGGGGTGAATCAGGAAGACGTCGTTGAGCAACTGTTGGGCCATTAACTTAAGCCTGCTGTGTGCCTGTCAATAGTGGTGCACCATATGAATCATATAGTGTAGGCCTGGCTTTTCAGGGTTCTTTGCACTCACATCAAGCCTGGTGCCCATGTAGTTGCAAAGGCTCTGCTCTTCAACTCCGGCCCAACATCGTCCGACCCAACTCTCACACTGAAGTATCTGAAGTAACTCAAGGCCTTGAAGCTCTCAAGCCGAAACTCGGCATAACCTATCTCCTAAGATATCCTACGGGTACCCAAACGCAACTATGGTTTACATGTTTTCCGGGTGTTTCTACATTGTGAACATGTTTTGACAGTGTCGAGTTCAGAGCAATCACTGGAGAGGCCCCTAGGTTCCCTTCTTGGGGCCTCTTCACGGGGGCCTCTGCAATAAAGCCTACTGGTGCCCCAGCGGTGCTCCACCGGAACGTAGCACAGAAGCACTCCTCGTACCTCCTCGTGTGTTCCTCACTTATGCTGACATACGGTCGCTGAGTTCCGGCCTTGATCATGGCGTCCTGTGATCACGGCGTACATTCAAAGATGTTCAAAGATGTTCATGGGCAAGGACTGCCAGAGCAGCAATAGAACAGCACTCAGAGAAGGCGTGTTGTCCTGCCAAGGCTTCTCATTTCCAGTGGGGTGGCGCGCATCTATTGCCACCTGCACACACAACAAGGAGACAACGCTCAAATACCAAGTTCGCGAGATCCCCTGCCTGAACAAGACGTGAATCAGGCCGGACGTGCTCCGGCCTGGGGGAGTCTACATTTCAGACTATGACGAAGCCAACGGTTTAAGCTGTCGAGCGCACGTGTCCTGCCGGTTCTCTGCAAAGTCTATCCCGCCGACAAACGCAACCTTCTGCGGACCGCTTTGAAACAGTGTCTAGGATCAACTCATAGCAATCGTATATCCGGTGAAGCCGAGGCCTGAAGCTCCTAGATCAGGTCTACCCCCAGAGCGAGCGCCGCGGCCGACCACTGTCCAGCGGACGATGTGCCGGGATGACGGGGACTTGGGCCAGCCATGGTGCGCGGATGAAAAACCTCCCCCCCCCCCCCCCCACCCCCTTCCCCCTGGCAACCCTCCACCCCCTGCCCTCCCACGCAGCCCCTCCCCCTCACACCCGCTTCGCGGACAACTGACTGAACATTGGCGGCAAAACAAACGAACACATATAATAGACAGATATGCCACCACCACCACCGCCGCCACCGCCCCCTACCCCCACCACCCCCCCCCCCCCACCCACCCCCACCCCCCCACCCACCCCACCCCCCCACCCCCACACCCCCACCCCCACCCCCACCCCCACCCCCCACCCCCCGCCAGGACCACACCCAACACACCCAAGAGACCCAAGAGACCTAGAAGTAAACCGAGGCATACGAGGAATGCACACATGCAACCTCTGTAGGTGACATTGTCGGATACACCTGATAATCTTGATCATTCCAACAAGGGTTTACGAGAGGATAGTTTGCACGCGAGAGGCCCAGTAGTTGTCCTTCACAACACTCTGCGTAGAGTAAGGGCATAGTTCACGTGCAAAGAATACTATTAGCAATACCATGGCTTCTTCTTTAAATTAAAAACACAAGCGAGGCTGATGAAGCCAGCGCTTGTTTTGTGCTTTTCAGAACAAAGACTCAAACAAACACACAAACACACAAACACACAAACCCACAAACACACACACACACACACACACACACACACACACACTCTTACGAAAACGCTTTCTGTTGAAAAGAGTATTCAACAACATCGGACTTTCGGACCTCCGGGTTCGAGGAATAATCCTCCTGGTCTTTGGTCGCTCTGCTTTTTGGATGTCGTTGGGTTTGTTTCCTTTTTGCTAGGATCTGTAGGCCAACAACCAGAGGCGGGCCCAGACGGTCACTGCCCAAACAGTACCCCGCTTGGGGCTCAACGAAGGTTCCGAAAGTCTGAGCCAGTAACCCTGCGATCAAAGACGTAGGACTTGATGTGTGGCCTGGGAGGAATTGTCACTGCAGCTGCCAAGGCACATACGCTGGGATCGGATTGCCTACTGCCTACGGGACCAATGCCCTGCCGTTACTCGATTGTGGAGACCTGACGTTAGCAGTTTGTTGCGTCCGTCTGCGGTGGCGTGGAGAAGAAACTGGTCTTCTGAAGCTGACAAGCATGCAGAGTCAGTGCGTGGTCGGACGAGCGAAGCTTCTGGCAGATAGTACACGGAAGCGAACAGTTCTCGGCCTGTCAAAGACACTGCAACAAATCTAAAGAAGCTAAAGCATGCCCGTTCTTGCTATTGGAACCAGACTCTGCTCCTAATGAATCATCAGCAGGTGGGCGTGTCTGACCAGTAAGGGATTTCCGGCCCTGAAGCTTAGAAACACCTCGCATTAAGCGTACAAACATGCAAACCAACAATATGTTGCATGCATGCACCCTGCCTGTATCCAGCATCAGATGAATATACTGCTTGTCCTTGCCAATAGGTCACTTGGGGTCAGGTTCATGCTGCACTGTCTCTCATGTCTGCAACTGCACAGTCGGCACTGCCTGTACCTTTTGCTTGTTCAACACCCCGGGCGTTTCAATCTGCATCTTCTCTCACGCGTTCCTGTTCAAAGACAAACCAAGCCATATCTTGATCATCGTGTCGATCCTCGTTCTCTGACTCCTCCAAAAAAGCAGGGTCCAGTTTCGTTGGAATACTCGCGTGCCGGGCTCTACCAGCACACGATAGCTCTTCCCAGAAGCTGCGCAGCAAAACGTATCGGTAGGCCTGATTGGCCAGGAATTGGAAGTAGATTTGTCGTCTTTCCAACTTGGCCGCGTCGTACAGACTGCTGAGAAGGCCGATGTAGACATTCATCATGATCACATTCACCACAAGACTCAGAAGTAAGAACATGTAGCGCAAGCCGTCGTGAAAGGGCTTGGGCAGCTCTTCTTCCAGGTCAGCGGCAATATGCCCACGGACCAACGAAGCATTCAAGAACTCACCTCTGCCTTCCAATTCGTCCATGTCAAAGTCGGCTAAAACCTCCAAACGGAAAATTCGCAAAAAGCCCGAGAGAACTTCGTACCAAACAACGTTGCCAGGATGTGCTGATGCATCGATCTCTTCAGTTGGAAAGGCGTAGTAAGCATGGAAAGACCCAAGAACAACGAGCGCTAAGAAAACCAGGAAGTACAAGGCTTCAGGCTGACTTACTGCATGGAAAGCTGGGAGCACATTCTCTCCAACTGTTCGAATGCCGAGGCAGTTCTGAACAAAAGTCAGCCAGCGGAAGAAGATCATGAACGATACCAGGTTGATGTACTGAAACAGGTGACATGTCTTAGCATGGCGGGTTCCGTTACAACCTTTCTGCCCATGGTCCAAGACCATTACTAGCGCCCATCCGAGAACACAGCAGCTGTAGATCTGGAGGACCATGGTGAAGAGATTTTGAGTATTTGCAAACTTCTGCAGCTTCCAGAGGAAGCTGGTGTACACATCCATGCCTTTGAAGAGCTGCGAGTGCTGCCATGCAATGATCAGAGAATGCAGGCAAGATCTTCCGGCCAGAAGGCACAAGACGATCAATATTTTCTCAGATGGGTACCTGTAGTGGCGCAGTGACGCGCTCGCAGAGACGAGGCCAGCAAGAATGGCAATGTCCGCTGCAAGATCAAGGAAAAAGCCGTCGTTTTCCAGAATCCATGTTTGAACCAAAAGGCCCTGTCCGAGTGTACTTGTCAGTACTCTGCTACGTGTTCTGCAGTCGGCCAACGCTTTAATCATCATCGCTTTCTGACGACTACTCGCGTTGAACAGAAAAACGGCCGGACTGTATGCAAAGCGCGCTTTGCAAATCTGATAATGATTGCCCCTGCCACGCGAGCATCGGGCTCGCCACGACCGTCCCATGTTGGGACTGTATTCGTAGGGATACTGGTTGTCAAAGGACAGGTAGTGGTGCAAGTGCCGCCTGGACAAAAACACGTGCATCCATTGCCAACTTGCGGGCATCCATGACGAGACTAGGTTGCCGTCAACTTGGCTGAAGGTAGACAGCAGCATGGTGCGTTCATCCGCATTCATGTCCTGGAGGAGTGGCAACTGCTTCAAGGAAGCTGATGGATCACTGTTCTGAAACTCATCGTCGAACAGTTCGGATGGAACTTCCTTGACGAGTGCATTCAAGAGTCGAAGCAGAAAAGGCTGTCCCGCCATGCAAGAGAAGCTTTCCAAAGCTACTGTCAACCTAATTGGCGTCCAAGAGCGGCAGAGCTCCGCCCACTTCGGAAATGATGCAGAGCTCTTGCAGCTAGTTTCCAAAGCAAGAAGCTCTGCACAAAGCTCTCGTCTGAGGTTTACTCCATAGCGGGTCGCCTCGCCCACAGCTTGCCACCAAATCCTCTGCTCGAGTAAATCCTGGCTCCGAGAGCTCGGGTTGCTTTCGCTGTCCGAGCCATCGAAGTCGTGTTTCGTAGGCCCCTGCTCGAGGCCCATGACTGCGCAGTAGAGAAATACTTTCGGTGCACAACGCAGTGCTGCAGTGTCGTAGGTATGGTAAACTAGATTAACCTATGCTTCGGCACCGAGATAGCTACGAAGGTCCAAGCTACACGTGACGGTAGCGCAGAATAGATTGCTGATAGCTGCAGAAATCAGTAGTTGCAGACTGTGCAGATCTGTTTGAGTTTTCAAAAGACTCCATTCTTCACAAAGCCGATGGCATTCGCAGGGCAAGAATGAAGGGCTCCACAACACGGAATTCGGCGGGCAGTTTGAGCAGCGCAAGCCACATGCAGATGCCCAGATGCCTCACCCACAGACTCAAACAAGAGCTCGAACTCGTGGTCCTGGCAAGAACATGCAGCCAAGATGCCAATCTATGGCCATGAGCCAGCATATGCCATATGCCCCAGCATGAACAACGGATTCCCTTGTTCTATTTAGCAGAGTTCTTCATCTGCAGAACAGTCGCTTCAGACATCCTCAGACCTTGTCCGTAAGCCCAGCTTCGTGCACAGGGTCGGGGCGCTTAGGGGGGGGCAGTTTGTCGTACAAACCCATGTTTCCCGTCAGTGAATCGGATTCTCAAGCCTATGATTCTGAATCCTGAGTGACTGCAAAGCTGCGAGCGGCCTGAAATGAACAAACAATCTGTCATCGCAGCAGCAAGTCGGATGACGGCCATCGTGACTGGCAACATTAACTCGAGGACTGAGCTCATACAGCTGGTATGAAGAACTGCAACAAAAGACAAGAACCCAGCGAAACATGCATCATGTTTCAGGTTGCAAACCATCTACAGCCACATCACCAGCCCTCGAACCCCCGGGCCCCACACTCTGTTGGATAGAACTAACACAATGAAGCAGAAACCCAACACGACCCAGCGACAGGACTCTCGTCGAGTTAGGCTCACAATCCAGCCTGGCCTCAAACAGTCCGAGATACTTCTCCGAGGCGGCATTGTCCTTGGAGCAGACCGCATGTCTCTCACCTCGTGCATACCAAGCGTGCCTGGCGCGAATGTGAGAGTTACCGCATCTAGAATCCGGAACGAAGCTGCAAACGCTGAGAACGCTGCCCAACCTAGAATCCAAACGTGAACTCTTCGCCGGACAGCCTGCTTTGGTTTCAGTCATGGGTTTATGCACCCAGGCATCACGCTGCCTCGCGAATCAGGTCTGTCAGGGACGTGTCCTTGGCAGGAATACCACATTGCAACACACTGCGGCAAAACACCAACAACAAATCACACAAGTCTTCAATCGTTTCAGCTAAGTGTCCGGTTCCTGGTCTGGAGTGGAGCTGAAAATTTTGAGCCTCTTGAGACACCATACAATAATACAATATCCACCGACCACGCTGTTGGGTCGAGCGCAGAGGAAGCTCTTTGCACAGCCCGTAGTCTGGCACGAAGGGTGATAACCGGTCTGGCCACCCACCCACCCCTCCCAAGCCCCCAATTTTGATTTTAAGCCCCAACTGACCCACCCCCTCCCTCCGGCCCCCAACCCTCCTGCCAGCACCTCCACCCCCAAAAAAACCTTCAAAAATGAATTTGCTGCCTCGGTCGGCGCTTCATGCAGCAGTCAGGTACAGAGCATGGTTGCGTTGCAGATTGCCCGCCACCGCTATGCAGCCATGCGCCTGGGCCTGAGAAGAAATGGCATGATGATAATTTCCTGCGTTGCTTCGCGGAACTGCCTTGCATCAGGACACACGACCTGAATCGTACCACCAGCCAGCTGGTCCAAGCGCTTCACTGGTAAATCTGCTTGAAGAACTCGTGGCCGCAGTCGAGAGCTTCCACATCCTGAAACTGCAGACAGGAAGAGCGAGGTCGACCAGGAGACCTGCATGAGACCTGCATGAGACCTGCTACACCCCTGAGACCTTCTTCAAGACTCAGCCTTTATCAACGAAGCTTAAGAATGCGCGACTGGAACGAATCAAAGCCTTGCAGGGAACATCGTTGAAAGCAACCAGTCCTGACCGGGTCGAAGCTAGCACTGAACTAAAGGAACAAACTGAGAAATGGCCCGAAATCTCACAGATTGCACAGGGGCGAGTCCGGAACAGGGGTACAGCAGCCGCCATGTAGCCGTATGCAGCTGTAGTGAGCAGATGTAAGGGGATCATTTTAGGATCATTTTCCATGCTCTGGTTGCAATCATCCGATTCACTTCTGAGGCTGCAAGGGTTGAGAGGGTTTTCTGGAGCTTGGACAACTAAGATAGGGTCTGGGTTTTGGGTTTTTAGGGGTTTAGGCTTCTTTGGTTTAGGGTTCAAGGGGCCGATGGGTTTAGGGTTGAGGGCTTTGCGCAAGGCTAAAAAGGCAAAAGCACGGAGCCTTGAGGCTCACAGAAAATACAAATAAATACCAAACCTGTGTCGTTAAGCCACACCACTTTGGAAGGTGTCGGTGAAGACACAGCTTGGTCCACTGGTAGCCCTGGGGGCCTAAGACCCCGAAGACCCGATGCTGTTCTGGTAGAGTTTCGCCCTGCTTTGCGTCCCGAGGTCAACCTCTGAGATGAATCCCTTTCAAGTCCTGGGAGAAGTGAAAGCAGAGACAGCCATGGCTTTCGGCGCTTGGGCATTCCAGGGCGGAATGTGTGGTGTGTGGTGCTAGGTGCATGTCTTCCAGCACTCAGGCTTTTCAGCTTTCCCTGCAATTTTGAGATAGCGTGGGTTTAGGTTTGCTACATGGTGCAATTTGCCTATATACTCACAGTGGCTTTGGGCCATCATCGCGCATGCTTGCAGCATGCCCCGGTGCTTCACGCTTCCAGTGCTGAGTTCAGAAGGCGCACCGCAATGGAGCCTTCTGCTCCACAGGACAAGAGCATACGAGATTCCTCGGTGCATGCGACGGGCCAGTCCCAGCTTTCAACAAAATGAGACTAGTGTTCATCAGCCATGCAACCGCTCTCAGCATGCACTCCCCTCATTGGATTGAAAATCGGAGACAGAGGGCGGAAGGGGGAGGCTTGTTTGGTTTCTACTAGTACCACGTGTTTGGTTTCTTCCAGGACTCGCTGGCGGTAGGCGTTCACGGAATCTACCTGGAAGCGTCGTTGAAGAAAGTGATGTGTACTGTGTAATCCCTTTATTAAACCCTCCCCCCCGACCCGACTTCTCGTCAATCCCCCGACCCGACTACTCGTGAATCACCTCTCTGCCCGCATGTGAAGGTCGTGGACAACACTAGACCATGCGATGCGAATCAGGATGGTTTATGCACAAGCGAAGTGATGGCACTAGACGCTACTCTACCGCTCAACGTGTTGCACGCTCACGACTTATTGTTTTTGGAGTGTTCGCGCTCGCCCCGATTTTAGCTCACAATACCTGCTCAGTTGAAGGAATGGTGCGGCAAGCCGAGGAGAGGGCCGGTTTCCCCCGACTTGAGCGAGAAAAGAATGCTCGCTCTCTTTCTGTCTTTGGGGCAAGGGGAAGGTCCCCCGCGCGGTAGCGCACCCCGGTCCTGCAGTTGGTCGGGTAACTGTACTCGCGCCATGGCCCAATGCTCGCTCGCTCTCTCTCTCTCTCTCTCTCTCTTTCCCTCGCTCTGGCCCCCTTGCCCAGTTCACGGTTTTCAACAACTGCAGAGTACCCCCTTGATATTTCCCTGGAGCAATTTTCCGGCGAATGCTGGAACCCTAAGACACATATTCCACAGATACCGTGCAGCTTCCTTGGAGTGGCCACGAGTATGCCCACTGACCAGAGAATCCCACCGATGTGTCTCCCTCATTCAATCCCAGATGATCCCTCCAGTCATCAAACGGGCGACCCTATCACTCACTGGTAGCAACTTGATGAGCACTGTGGCGATCTGCGGGAGTCTCTTGGGGCGGCCACTCCCGGGATACACCGTGGGGTTAAGACGGTTAACCGAGCGTGGGCAAAGGTCATTGTTGTGCCGCTTGGTCGTGTTGCCGTCGCTGATGCTGCTGCCGAGAGAGACCAGAAACCTACGTAGGCTGAAGTTAAGGTTTGCGTTGGCGGCTGCCAAGTAGGGTCCATTTTTTCCACAGCAGTGCGTCAATGGCTCAATTCGGGTTGTAGGTGAGGATATTCGGCAGACAGGTTGGATCTAGGGGCTCAAGCGCTTAGATTCCAGAATGTCGAAGTATGTTTTCAGAAGACTGGGCGTTTGCGCTTGCCTTTTTATGCTTTAACAAGAACCTGGCTCAATGTGGAGAAGAGTCGGGAAGAGATGCATGCCAAAGAATCACGTATGCACCGTTCCCTGCCACTCCAAAACATACATACAAAACTGCTCTAGCAGACGCTTGAGATCACTGGTGCCACTAGGGCTGCTGCGCTCGGAGCGAAGACGAGGTCGTGGATGCTCTTTTCATGTGCCTCTGCCGGTAATGTGTCAAGGCTCCGCAATTTGACACAGCCTATCAGGCCAAGCTGGCTAAGGCTACCAAGGTCTCAGCCTGCCAAAACGTCAAAGGCTGGGCAAGCTGAGAAGCCTGCGACTGCTGAAGCATTCATGAGTCCTTTGCCATCCTAATTTGCCATCTTCCATCATCTCAGGCTTGACTGACGGTGTCCGACAGTGCCCGACGGGCCACAGCACTCATTTTTTCAGCGGTTTGCGAGCGATGATGTAGGACATGGAAATGTCCTGACGTTTCTGAGGTACTGTCACATGTGCGGAAGTGTGCAAGTGCGGCTTCCTGACAAATTTGCTGCGTCCTGGCGGCAATCGCGCCATCTGCGGCTTCGGCATTGTTGCCCTCTACGGGCGAGCCATGCTCGGTTTCCTGCAGGCCAGTGCACCCGTGGCCCGGAGAGCAACCCTGATCCCAGCCCAGATCTGAACATATCTGAACCCACAAGCCCAGCTTTGTCCACAGACTGTCTGTGGGCACGTTCTCCACAACTGCCCCACTGAGGGACTAACTGAGGGCCTCTCTGTTTGGAAAGCCACCGATATAGAAGCGACTTTGCTTCAGGCTCTATGCACATGAGTCCACAGAAATGGTGGCCTCTTCGGGCGCAGCCCTCCCCAGCACACCGCCGGCAAATCACTCAATAAACCACAAGAGCCGGCGTGGCTGTATGAAGTCTGCGCTCGCAATCCTAATTTTAAGTGAGAATATGCGCATGCGATCCTAGAGCTCACGAAGATTGGATCGGTGAGACAACGCAGCTGCAACGACAAAATCATGATCTTTTTTGGCCAGCCAACGCGGCCAGCGAAACGGTCGAAAAAGGTTCATCACGTCAGTCCCAACTTAGGACCTCACCAGTCAGTAATTACCATTCATTGCACGGTCTCAATTGCGAACTTGCGAAACAATCTCCTGAGTCTGCTGAGGCTGGCACGACCTTGCCTGCTTGTCCAGACAGCATGGCATCGAAACCGTCTTGGTACTGATCGACCGAGAACCTTTGGGCCGCAAAGACACTACGTACGTCACGTGGCACACCCACGTCCGCTGCTGTTGGATGCGTGAAATGTTTCCTGCATCTACGGCTACCTGCCGTGGCCACACTGCACAACACATCACACATCCATACGGCTTGCAATTATGGGATCTGCGAATATCAGTTTTGCGCTTCTCGGCCCCTAGGCTGTGGGCCTGTGCGTAATGACAGGTGCCACTTTCTCCTGAAGTCCACCAACCAACATGCTTTGCCTCAGCTGCCAACACGGAGTTGGTCTGAAAAGCTGTGCATGGCGGATGATTGCATTGCAGATGCTGTGTAAAAGTGCTGTTATCTGATGTCATACAGCATGTCAGCATGTATCAGCATGTTGCATGTCATTCATGCAAAAGCCGAGTTCTGGCGGACCCTTCAGGAAAAGAGGCAAGGATCCTTCGATTATAGCTGGGTCACATCTTGTACCATGTTTCAAACATTTCTCTGCCATAGATTCCTTTGATCTCCAGCCCCTTGAAGATCACGTGGTCCCAGTTGATGTGAAATGGCTTTGAAGGTATTCCCAGCAACCCCACGCGAGCACCAATATTCAGAGTATCCAACATAGAGTGTACAGCGCTAGGGACTCCTGACATCTCCAGGCCAATGTCGAAGCCTTCCGTCATCTTGAGCTCACGCATAACTTCCCTGATTCTCTCAGTCGGATCACCCTGGCCAACGTTGACAGCTCTCGTTGCTCCACACTGCCTGGCGAGATCCAACCGATATTCGTTAATATCGGTGACGACAACATGGCGAGCACCGACATGGCGGCAAATTGCAGCGGCCATGACACCGATGGGACCAGCTCCTGTGATAAGCACATCCTCACCTACCAAATCAAAGCTTAAAGCAGTGTGTGTGGCATTGCCAAGAGCATCCATGAAGCTCGCCACGTCGTCGGACACGCCCTGACTAAGCTGGAAGACGTTGTAGGCCGGAAGGCACAGGTACTCTGCGAAAGCTCCAGGTCGATTCACACCAACACCCACTGTGTCTCTACACAGATGTCGTCTGCCTGCTCGACAATTTCGACACACGCCGCATGTGATGTGGCCTTCTCCTGTCACGCGGCTGCCAACCTTGAGGCCCGTGACTTCTGAGCCTCAGTTTGATTCAAAGTGTTTCTTATCACGCTATCTGTGCTGCAACCGCATTGTGAACCGATTCGATGTAAGGGTGGGGCCAAGTTCCTTGATTATTCCAATATACTCGTGCCCAACCACCATGGGAGTTGGGATGGTTCGCATCGCCCAGTCATTCCAATCATAGATGTGCACATCTGTGCCGCAGATCGCTGTCCTCCGTTGCTGGCTTGACAAGTGAGGTGGAGTCGCTGTTTCAGCGTGCAAGGACGAGGCATGCGCTTGTACTGTGCGTAGCTGTGGCATGGAAGGTCACCAGTGTCAGCGCAGATAAGTCTCTGTGTTTGTTCGGCAAGCGTGGCAAGAGTCCAACTGACCCGCTTAACGACATGAGACGTGAGCAAGTCTAACGGAGTCTAACGACTGACAAAACCTCCAACTCAAAACAAGTCAAGCGTGCACTCTTGCTGCAATGTCAAGCATCTTCTGGATCTCAATCAGAACATCATTCGGCCCAATGGCAGGCTTTGGCACCGTGGTCAGTGTCAGGCCCTCCGCACGCTCTGTCTTCACCAGTGCCTGTGCGCGATACGCGCTATGCAAATATCGAAGCACTAGTCACTAGTCACATAAAGTCGAAGTGTCCTCCTGTCCAGAACTTACAGCGGCACAGGCCAAACACACACACACACACACACACACACACACTCAAACACACACACACACACACACACACACACACACACACACACACACACACACACACACACACACACACACACACACACACACACACACACACACACACACACACACACACACACACACACACACACACACACACACACACACACACACACACCCCCACACACACCCACCCACCCACACACACACACCCACACACACCCACCCACCCACACACACCCACCCACACACACACACACCACCCACACCGCACACACCCAACCCACCCACACCCACACCCACCCCCACACCCCCACCCACCCACCCACCCACCCACACCCACCCACCCACACCCACCCACCCGCCACCCGCCCACCCACGCACGCACGCACACACGCACGCACGCCCACACGCACGTCATGAGACGAATGCAACAACCCAGATGACTCAAACTATTGCCGGTAGCCGAGGGCACACTCTTCCGCGCAAGAAGATACTTCCCTGAATTCACCCAACGACTTGCTAGTTAGTGCGTCAAGCTTTGACAGAATACAACTTGCTTCCAGATTTACAACAGACCAGAAGATCGAAGTAACTCCCGGCTCGCATTCTCGACCCTACTACCCCAATCTGACTCTGCTCGGTTTCACAGTGTCCTCGCTCTTGCTCCCACTCCCGTGATGCAGATTCCGAATTACCCTGAGGCCAGTGGCGACTCGAGACACCACGACGTCACATTGTTTCAATTTTACCCAGCATGACAAAATCTGCCAGATCAGTCCAACCAGTCGCCTTCATGCTCGTGCCCCACAGCACGGGTTGAATTGGCTGCGGAATGGGTGCCATCGAAGGCACAGTGGCAGCAGCCTGCAAAACTCGGTCCATAACAAGCAGGATGCACTCAACAGCCGTCAACACACATCGCAATCCCATGCTCCAATGCTGTGCAAGGTAGCGCCAACCTCTGATGAAAATGATCTTCGGAGCGAGTGGAAGCAACATCTGCTGACTGCCTGAAGGGTGGCAAATCCAGCGAGAACTCATCTCAGCTGCTGAGCCTTATGAAATGGAATGGAAACAAACCGCACACATGGGTGAAGGTAGATGTTTCGAGGTACATGTCCCACACTTGAGCATCCTCTCCCAAATCGGGAGCTGCACGCCATGGCGAAGAAGCTTTCTGACTCGATCCACAAACAGCTTCGGCGAATAGCAGAAAACCAAGCATGAAACGTCGTTGCAAAATGCCAGGTCCAATTCCGAGTACCTGAAACAGCAATCCATCCTCGCTGTGTCCAGCTATTCCGGCCTTCCACCATCTGGCCCTGTAATGCTCGTGTCTTTGTTTCGTGGCCATGGCAGTGGAGCTACCGTTTGCTTGAAGCGCGTGATGGGTTAACCAAACCGTTGACCCGACACGTAGATACGTTGTTCGACGCACAACGAGTTGTGAAATGCTGCCAGTCTCACTCTGGCGAGGATGCAGCAGGATGGAAATCAAACCCAGCGCGGCTTGAACGGAAGGCGGCTCTAGCACACACAAAACAGTCAGACTCTGAACAGCACTGCCATTAGATCCGACAAATGCAATGAATTGCACAGTAGATCATGCCATCAGCGAAAGACATTGCATACAACATATACAAATATTCAAAGATATGTGTATATAGACACAAAGAATCACCGCCTTCTCAGCCTCCTCTGCAGCTGTTTGTGCCCAGGAAGGGTCCTGTCCACTGCCAAAGGATGCCGCCAGTGCCAACATGCTTAGTGGCTTAGTGATCATACCATGACATACTGTGAAACATTCCGACAGGGGTACATGTTTTCGGCCCCAGAATCTGCGGCAGTTGCAGTCCATCGCGGCCCGAGCACTTAGTTCTTGGACCCGCTGCGCCCCGTCCGCTGCCTCTGACATGTCACTGTGAGGTCGGGAGAGGCACAGAAGCACACATGGGTGTCTTGCATGGGCATATTGCACCACATCTTCCCGAACAAGGCTTTGCATTCATCACTTCCTAATTCTGCTGTACTGTACCTGACACGCTTTGGCAGCGGTGCCACGCAGTCTTGGCTCCTGACTTCCTGCGCATCCCAGATCAAGATCCGAGCATCCGAGCCTGGCTCACAAGAAGAGGGCATGTCACATGGCTTTGCCCTCATGGAGTGTGCTGCCTGGCCTCCGGTCGCAAGCCTGCTCCCATCGGGCGACCATGCCAAGCTCCAGACCTCCGCACAAACGTCTCAGAGTCTCACCACTCTCTCAGGAGTAGGCCAAAGTGGCCAAAGTCAACCTTGACATTGACTTGACATGTCCCCGCTCCCCCGCACCCAGTTGGCATGGTTCCGGGGCAGGATCATGACTGGTAGGCCAGTGCTGACCTGCACAGGGCATCTGAGCGACCACTACAGAGGTCTGCGCCAGACAAATTCAAAATGTCCAAAAAACCTGCTTCTGAAGTCTTCACCCACAAGTCAAGGACATCAGCACTTCTCTCCGCTTCTTCTCCCTTCTTGTAGGCTCAGCAAGAACACATGAATCAGCATCTTTCTGACACCAAGAAAGCTGCGAAAGCTGCGAAAGCTGTGACTGTACATTGTGGCTCTCCGCGGGCTTTTTACATGCTCTTGCTTGGACTCGGGCCAGGAGCAGCTGAAGTGTCCCAAACGCTCATGAACTTTGACTCCAATACGGTCGTTCATGAAACGAAAGATGGGCCTACCTGTCTTGCCTGATCCTACCTGCCTACCTCCAACTAATTGGCTCAATCCCGACGTCTCTCCTTCAAACAGTGCGCGCAAAAGATGATCTGGGGCTCACTCGCACAGGCGGTTCTGAAGTTCGATGGTCCTGGTCCTGTGTCTCAGATGAGATGTGCCGACCACGCTTGAGAAGCGATCTCCTTGAAAGGTTCACCGAAACATGAACCGGGTTGAAGCAGCGTCTCAAGGCTCGGAAGGCTCGGACTTGACATTGGATGGCTCCGCAACCTTTGGTACCTCATCGGACGATGCAGCCGTCCTCAGGCAAGCACAAATTGAAAGTCAAAATGAAAATGACTGAAACCCTAATTCAACTGACGAGGAACGTCATCACAATGGGAGCTCTCCCGAACTCTTGGATAAAGCATGACAGAGTTCTTCCCGCACTCAGATTTACTATCATGGGCCACCGGGCGAATGTGGGACCAAGGTTCCGGCGGCAATCTGGCATCAGCGCTAGCCGCGCTAGCCGCGCTGGCCGCGCTGGCCGCACTAGCCTGCAAACTCACAAAGACACTGCAGAGGATCATCCTTTCTGTGTCTCCCCTCACCTCAGGTTTACTATCGATTGAGAGTGTGAACAGGTGGGGAGTTGCTCGCACATGCTGCTGGAGGTACTCTCTGCGAACTCTTTAAAAGCCCCAGAGGCACTTTCCCTCTTCTCGGGGCCCTTGAGTTGTTGGAAGAATCTCGGCGCCTTAGCAAACCTCTGCTCTGCTATGACCACCGTCTCGGCCCCCCGTTTGCCATGTCATAGCTGCAGCTACTTCTCGATGTGACCGTGGCGCAGGACATGCCAATCCAAAAAGAGATGTCCCTAGGGACAATAAAAGCTGCGTGCAGGATATGCGGGACTCCCAGCTTGAGGCCGCAGCATTCGTCGCAGCGCGCGGCTCAGGCTCCTTCATCTTGCTGTGCCTCAGCATATCTTTGCATCTGTTTGCATGCAGCGCATCAGGATGTGACATTCAATTAGGCTCAAAGATAAGCCGATGCTGGCTTTTGTGAGAGCAGTGCCGAGCACAGTATATGCTGTTCGCCTTCGGCTTCCCCCGGCATGGGACGAGCTCCAGGCCTGAATTCGGTCTCTCAGCTGACAAAACAGAACATCACTGCACGAGGAAAACTGCACGAGCAATCTGACAAGACCCGAAGCAGCGCCTTTCTTCACCTGCCCCGCACATCGCTCCTTCAGGTACACATTCTTCACTAGCGTTAAGTTGCTGACAGCTGAATCCAATGCCTTCAGTACTTGTCTACAAGATGTCAGTGATCTCTGTTTTGGATGATGATGGATGATGTGAACCCGAGGACCTCCCTCACGGACCTCACGTGACCTCACCCACTTGCTTAACTTGATCTGATGTTTAACTGGGACCCCTTTCCTCAAGAGAACTACCTGGCTTTGGATTGCCGGGCCTTTCATGGCTGTCTAGACTAAGTTGACAGTGATCTCTATGAAGTTGGGCAGTCTTGAAGATCTCATTGCCAAAGTATGAGCTGACGTTTCGGATGGACGACCGACGTCTTGGTGGTGTGTTGAACAAGGCTACCCACCCTTTGTCTTGCATCCGGCCTGCCACATTAACACGCATAGCGGCTCCTGTGAAGCTGCGGGCCCAGCAGAGCTGGGCAAACGCTCCGCTGGCAAGGCACCACCTCTAGGGCCTCGAGGATATTCAAAGACAGCACCAAGACGGACTATGACGTGTCATGACCTGTCACCGGTCGATCAGAACCGGTCCTAAAAACATGAGCCCGTTGCCTGTCGCGCCTGTAGAAGTGCTGCCCGATCGACTGACAATGCCATGACTGGCCACGTATCTGACCGCATCTGCATTGAGCGGCAAAATGACAGATGCCTGCTCATAAGCTTGTCGAGGAAGCTTCCTGGGCATGGCTTCACTTTCTGTGGTCATGTTCAAGAAGACTGATGCGGCCTCCAAAGTAAAAACCCTAAACTCTGCAAAGGAAAAGATGGCTGGGTGGGCCTGTCTTTGCAACCTTCTTCACTGGCTCTGTTGACACCTTGCAGCTTCAGTCCCCCATCATGCAGTCTCTACGAAATCCTGGCCGAAGGCCTCATCGGCCTCACCTGTTGCTCCAAAGGTCATCTCTGCCTGTCACTCTTCTTCTCCATGCCGCTTCACGCAAGTGATTTCTGGATTTGAGAACTCAGACTCCGCTAGACCACAGCAAGAAAAGGCTGCAAGGAGGTGGTTCGACAATCATTGACAAGATTGTTGTTTGTAACCATTCATAAACGTGGCACTTAGAATCCTCGAGTCGGACAAAGTTTGAAACTTGCAAGGTAGGGCCTACGACCAAGAAACAAAAACAATTCCCGAGTTCAATCGATTGCAGATATTGCAGGAGCCGAGCTTGGGTGCGTACAGGTGCATGTGCATAGGTTGTCGGAGGGGCAAATGTTAAGTCTGAAGCTGCATTCCGCTTACTTGGTGAAGCTGGAGTACCTTGCTTTTTCTGCTTAGAAATGCCCACATAGCCGGAACAGAATCCCTGTGCGCCATGATGCACAGTGCGCCCAGAGGCCACTAAGGCTACCCAAGCGCCCCAAGCTTTCGGAAACGAAACTCGGAGTCAGACATCACTCTGATTTCGGGTCTAAGACTTTCAAGCCATCCCTGTGACTCTTTGATACTCTTAGAGCTTAGGGCATTACGGCTTAGAGCTTAGAGCCTAGTGCTTGCCAGCCAGCAATCGCTTTCGGCTTTCGGGCGTTGCTGTCCTAGCCGCCCCTTTTCGTAATAGTACAATTCAGTACAATGTTGTTCCAGGCCCGCAATTGCAAACATCAACCGGCATCCTCGTGGCTATATTTGTCGGCAAGCATGTGTATGTCCAGTTTGGGAGTTTGGGCAGTTCACGCACGCTCCTCGGCACTGACTGCAGGTCCGCTGACACGCGGAGCTGAGCCTCCCGAATCACAAGCTGTCCCAAGAGCCCAAGAAGGTGCCAGCACCAGACTGTTTGCCTATAGATGACTGAGAGCCTGGGCGCACTCCGCTTTATTTGTGCACGCTGTGATCTCTGAACTCGCACGAACGCACCAAGAGCGTATGACTCAGAAATGGCGAGCAGTGGCGAGCAGTGGCAGCTTTGGCCGCTGCCGAGACTTTCACCGTGCAGTTTCTGCAGTCACTGTACGTCTACACAGAAGCCTGCACAATCTTGCGACAGACCACGCAAGAACTCGGCGCGGTAGAAGTCTGTCTGATCGGGTGAAGATGGAATTGCTAAGCCAAAGTGTCAGAAGATCAGGCGCACACCGCCTAAGTTGCAACATCACCGCATACCATCTCGCACCCATCTCGCCCAAATATCAACTGATCCCATTCCCACGCAAGTCCAAGCGACAGATTGCTCGGATGGCCTCCTCTGAGCCATAGCCGGTCTTTGCGCTTGTGAGGTACGCCTTATGCAGCTTATGCAGGACACCAGTGAGACTCAGTTAAACAGAGGACTGCGCAGCACAGTATGTCCCCCGAAAACAGCCCCATGTTCAGAAAAGTTACTTTGCACTGGCGGACAGTACGTGCCACCGTGCAAGTAGCCGCAGCTGCACTACACCTGGCCTTCAGACATGTTCAGACTGCAACTTGCGAGACTACAGCTGCTGATAGCTCATGTTGTGACCTCTCACCTGAACATCAGCTCCAGGGCTGTTTGCCACGGCAGCTGCAGCCTCTTTGCTGTCATCATCAGGGTCTGCGTCCACCTTAAAAATCGAACAGTAATCAAACAAAGCCAAGAAAACCAAGACCAAGAACTGCGAAGACGGAGGAACCCCATGCAGTCTCAGGCCTTGTTCACCAACAGTATGACCGGTGCACCTTCAGGCAGAAAGCTGAGGGCGTTGTTGAAGGAGCTGCAGAAGGCAGCCTGCACCGCTGACCGGCAGCATCTAGAGAGTCTAGTAGAATCGGTGTCCACATGTGTCCAGAACAGGCCACGATTTCAGCCTCGTCGAAACGATCAGCGCCATCAACGACGAATGCAAGTACGTCTGCACCAGCGATGTGCCTTCACAGTCTTCACACTCACTTGGAGACTACGCGCATTGACTCACAGGAAAGAGTCCAGAAAAGCGCAAAGGAGTGTTCCGAGTGTCTTCATCGTCATACTCTCTGAGCTGAGCCACTCCCAGAGGCCCTGCGAAGAGCCCACAGGCAGCATGAGCAGCTGAATCCTCTCAAAGGGCCGGGCAAGCGGTTCCCAACCTCGGCTCGTTGCGCCTGATACACTCCCTGTTACAATCTGCCAGCTGCTACCAAGTACAGATGCGAATCATGTGAAGCGCCATGTGAAGCGACATGTGAAGCTGTATGAAGCCATGCGAAGCCTGAAACCTCACAAACCTCACAAACCTCACAAGCCAGGACTTGCTAAGTGTTTCAGCGGCACCTGCTCCAGGGGGCTGCCGCTCGAGCCACACGTTGCTGGTAAAGCGCGTTGCCAAAGATTTGGCGCCTGCTGCAGGCATGCCTGCGATGACCACCCGGACTTCCTTGAAGCGGCCTTGCAGTGAGAGAACAGCATGAGGGGTCGTGAGCAAGCATTGTGACGAAAAGTGGACCCGAACAAGTGGCTGCACAAAAACTCGACTTGCTCCCAAAGCACCTCCATTGTCGCTCTGCGATGTTCCCATTTTGGGAGCACCCTATGGCACTTAGAGACTTACAGGCTGAAATTAAAGTTCATGCCACATGCTCGTGGCTCACACGCTTGCTTTCTGGCATGCTGACCATTATCATTGCACCGAGGATGCGCTGAGATGCTTGGTTGCGCAGAGTCCTGCCTAAGTGAAAGCTTGCCGTGCATGGACGAAAAGCCAGACAGCGGGCCACAAGCATCAACAATGCAGGTTTGCCCGGAATCGTGCAAACTCAATGTAGATGCAGGGAAACTGGCCAATCTCGTGTAACCTCTGCTTATCATCGCTTATCATCCCATCTTGCTGCCCGCCTGTGCTGCCCGACAGCTCTGCGGGATGCTGGCGGCTGGAAGCCGGATTAGCCTGGCGCAACGCTCGCTTTGCCTACCCCAGCGGCAGCATGCTGTCCGTGAACGACGACAGATTGAAACCTCTGCCGGATCGCGGGCAGGTGAGATATCCAGAGCTTGGGTTGATGACCTAGTTCTGCGTTTGCTGTGGCCAGAAGGTTAGGAACTCAAAGAAAATGACAAAACGCTGCCTTGTGGAAACACGAGCCGCGTGCTCCTCAACGGCCGGATATGCAAGCACATCAGAAATGCCTTACGCATAGAACGTGACGCATCACGAGCCTCTTTCCGACACGTTGCCGGAGGGAGGCACAGGCGGGCACAATGCGCGAGATGCGGACTCCATGTTAAAAAGCGATTGGCGCAGAAATCGCATTAAGAGCAGCTTGTTGCTGTCATTTTCTGCAGGTTATCTGATTTTTTGGGCTGGGAGTCCGTTTCACGCACGAGTTGGAACTGGATGGAAGCAAGCTGGCCTGCCGAAAGTGCAGGTTGCGGCAGGCGGTGCAGAGCTATGCCCGCCGTAAGATGGCTTGGACGGTTTGTAAAGATTGATGTAAGCGGCAGCAAAAGCAGCAGCAGCATTTACAGCAATAGCAGAAACAACAGCAGCAGCAGAAATAGCAGCAGCAGATCTTGCAGCAACAGCAGCAGGAGGAGTGCACAGTGTTTCACGCTTCTCGGGTCGAGAGCAGCACATTGGCGGGCATGCGGCAGGCGTGCAGAGGTGGCGCGTTGCACCGGCCAGGGCGTGGGCCGGCAACGCATGCAGTGGATTCAGCACAGTCTCTTCCGATTATAGTGGTGGCTAGAGCGAAAGCTTTGCGTTCGACATGTGCTGGAAGCGTGGCCTCATGAAGGTGTGGGAACTGTCCATGTTTTGACCGATGTTTGGAGATGCAGTCGCGCAAAGAAACAGCACTCTCGGACCGTTAGGGAGACTCCAACGAAGCGCAAAGTGAACACAGAAGGCAAGAATTTCATCAAACCATGGTCGCGTGTGGGCTGTGACCGTTCCATTGACGTCACATCCAGCACACGGCAAACAAGCTGACAGTCCTCAGCCTGTCGTCTGGCATCTTTTTCTGCCTTCACAAAAACCTCCTCCAGCACCTGAAGGCGAGCTGCCGCTTCATTTTCGGAGCCGGCCTTCGCAGGAAAGTGCCTTGCTGTTGTGGTTCAAATCTTCGAGCAAGTTGTCCAGTATGGGAACCTGGTAGTGTGGACGTGGCTATGCGACCGCTTGCTGCTATCGGGATGGGAGAGCCTCAGATTCCAGCATCCGGCACAGTCCTGACAAAAAACTGACATGAAAAACACATATATATCTATATATATATATATGTATATGTGTACATATGGACAAACCTAACATACAGGTATGTCGTTTATCTGTACGGTCACACTTCCCCCCCCCCGATCAACGTCTCTCATTTCTCAGACGGCTTTTGTACAGCCACATTTACGTACACCTTTAGTTTAAGTCTGGAATCTAGAACACTCCATTATTCAAACGATTCTTCCCCATCTTGATCTATCATAAGATTTCTTCTTGCTTGCTGCATGTCGGATTTTAGATCTAGTAACTCTTAGCAAGAATCCGCTTGTGGAATAAGCGTTTGATGCGCAAACTGGTTCTGCATGTCGTGCTAAGCCTTCAGCCTTCAGCAGGTCACAGTCTGTTTGGCAGCTTCCCTTTACACATGCAACGAGAATTTAATGACGAATTGCCCTCCGTCAACTGCTTAATCTAAAACCCTGTTCGGTTCGTAAGGAGCCAGAATAGTACTTTTGCAAAAGTAAAAAATGCCCACCACTGACTAAACTGATTAAAGCATGAATTCGTAAGGGGCCCGAATCAAATCTGGCTAAGAGAAGTCAAGCCAGATATATTAAAGATCAAACAGGGATCAAAAACACACAAGGGTTAACAAAAAAGTCCCTTCGAGCATCCCCACCCATTTGCCGGCATACCGGTTCTGCCTCCAAGCAGGAAACAAGATTCTCCTTGTCTTGCGCCACAATACAAGAAGCTCAATCCACTTTTTGGGGTGGAAGCCTAGGTTCAGCTTGTTGTGGTAGCATGACATGATCAGAAACCAGGCACCGACTTTACATTGACTCAGGAATACGGCTAAAGGCTAAAGGCCAAGGTGGAGTGCTTCTCCGATATTACACGCCGAAAGCAGTTCTTCGCTTCTTTTTAGCTGGTGGTGGTTTGTGTTTCTCACACACATATACGGACAGGAACATACAAGTTGCTCGTATGTGGGGTGGGGGGAGGGGGGGGGAGAGGGGGGAGAGGGGAGGAGGGGGGGGGGGGAGGGGGAGAGGGGGAGAGGGGGGAGGAGGGGGAGAGGGGTACGGGGGAGAGGAGGGAGAGGAGGGAGGGGGGGAGAGGGGGGGAGCGGGGGGGAGGGGGGGAGAGGGGGGAGGAGGGAGGGGGGGAGAGGGGGGGGAGAGGGGCGAGAGGAGGAGCGGGAGAGATGGGGGGGAGCGGGGGGGGAGAGGGGGGGAGGGGGGGAGAGGAGGGGGGGGAGAGGGGGGGGGAGAGGGAGAGGGGGGGAGGAGGGAGAGGGGGGGAGAGGTGGTGCCGGAGGTTGGAGATGGTAGTTCGAATCCGCCTGATGGGCTGCTGTTCTTTGGTGGACTCCCTGATCTGAAAGGCCTGCTGACTGCTGTATGGGCCGACCACAGAGGCTTGACCTGCTGGCCGCTTTACTATGATGGGTATTCTTCGGCGCAATCGCCGGCCTGAAAGGCCTGCTGGCTGCCACGTGGCAGCTGTCGTAGTCCGGTCTGTCCTGTGTCTTGTCCCGTTGTCTGAAGTCCTCATAGTTGTCCTTGATCCTATCTCCCGTCATGTCCTCCTCTGTCGCGGAGTGGTAGTATAGAGCGTTGTGTTGGTGTGAGGACTCGTGGTGGGCATGGTTGTCCTTCAAAATCGACCACCCCACTGAGGGGGGGTAGCATACATGTATATATATATATATATATTGTTTTAGTTTTTTCTTTATTTATATTTATATTTATTTGCTTATTTATGTATTTATTTATTTATCGTATGTAAAAGGTGCGCCACACTGCCTCAGATCCTAACAGGCAGTCCTTCGTACTGCCCACAGAGCAACTGCAACTCGGTAGCCAATTCCACTTTGTTGGCTGCCTGGTGTTTGCACATGTCTCTCTGTCACACATCGCATACATTCAGTGGTACACAGCAGTACACAACTCAAGCGACTGCTATAGAGACTACCGTCCATACAACTTGCCCCGCCTTGCCCTGCCTGGCCTGCTGCATGTCTCTCACCACCTTGCAGACGGCGATATGTTGATTATTTACACTTGCGTATAAACGTAAAGCCGTAATACGTATCCCGAAACAGCCACAATGTTGTACGAATGGTACGAATATGGAGGGGCCTGCCGCAGAGCTAGCACAGTGGGCTGGCAAGTAGGCTGCAGCGAGCTGCAATCCTGAAACTTTCTCAGTAGAGGCCACAGTAAAGGCCACAGCACATCTCATCTCCACTTCTGCAACTCAGCTAGGCCTGCGCGACCAGGCTACACAGCCTCTTGGCATTGAGGGTTTGTCGGAGAAAACATCAAAGAAGGGCTCGAGCGTGAGGAAGGACTTGGGAGGGTTGGGGAGCCCTCAAGGTCATAACTGCTCATAACTTCCTCTCGTGGGTGCGAGGAGGGGCGATGCAGACCAGAACGCCTACAACTGAATCAAAAGAAACGGGCCGGACTTCCTAAACGGTACGACCCATAAACCACGACACAACTAACAATGAGCTTCTTTGTTCCCGGTATTCTGAAGGCGTCTGCTTCAAGCCCTCTTACGTGTTGATAACGACGCAGGAGGCTTACAGCCATTGAATCTCAGCTGCTAGCAACCCTCGTTGGCTCTTCATTGGTTGAGCTTCGCTGCCTCTAAGACTCTAAGGGCTCTGCCCTCGCGGCATTGTTGGAATTATTCGAAGGGACTTGTCTTGTCACCACCAAGGTGTGCCCTTTTGCTGACTGAGGCCCTGACGGAACCACTTCCACCTGTTGTCAAACTTGTGAAGTTTCCACAAGTTCCACGGCAGCCATTGCACAAGCCATCCGAACAGCAAGCTGAACCTGCAAGGGCACGCGAGCCATCCGTCCTGTTCAGTTGTTTGGCAACAAAATGCAACAAAGCACAGCGCGGCTGTGAAACGGAGCGGTCCTCGTGACTTAGTCATTCTGAAGGCATCCACTGCCAGCCTGCACTTGATTCACACGGGCCCAGAAGCGCCAGGGCCCTGAAACTGCCTGGCCACTGCGGCCGTGGGCCGCCCGAAGCGAAGGCCAACACAAGAACCTGAGTCATTTATTCCTTGCTGCGGCGTTTCTTGGGAGATTTGCTGGGGCCTCAGCCTGTGAAGTTCTCTTGATATTGAAGCTGAAGCTTCATGTCCTTGTTTGCATTGACTGGGCTTGCCTTCACAGTCTGTCAGAAAAAACACGACAGATCAAAACAAAATGTCGTGATTCAAACCCTACATCCTCGGTGGGTCCCGAGGGCACTGAAGTGTACCAACCTCAGGTTGTCGAAGCACTTCACATTGCTGGGACGACAAGTCTGGTGGCATAGCTGGCCAGCCTGACTTTGAGTGATTTTAATTCATTGCACGGGGGTCTGACTTGGGCCACGACCCACAACTTTGGCGGGCCTTGCTGCCTCATCACAAGATCACAAGAAGCAAGCTTGGGATGTTTGGCCACTGGCAAACATCAGGGCAAAGCAAGGGCCTGATCCGACATCGCCTGACCACCGTGGCGCATAGGATTCAATGCTGTGCAGCTTTGCTGTTCATATGTTTGTTTCGGATGGCTTTCTGAAAACGACAGGCTTGACTGAAGTATACGAGGCTCGTGGAAATCCACCCGTGGCGAGGGTTGCACTTCGTGTGATTATGCGTTTTTCCCTGAGCTAGGTGCAGATGTTGATTGAAAGTATCGACAGACGGTCCCACATCGCACACTAAAGTCACGAAAGCCCACTGTCATGGCACTCACCTGCCAGGTAGCTACACAACTTCTGGTCGCCAAGGAAAGTCAAAATTCTTGCAAACCATGGAATGGAGGGTCCATCGCCATCGGTGTGAGTTGTATGAAGGGGAGCTGCCGATAGGCATCACCAGCCAGCGCTATTAGCGTGTTCATGTTGTGCTGCATGGTTACGAAGTAATTGCCTACATGTGAACGAGTATCCGCACCTCAGCTTCCTGCTGAGCAGCCACAAACCTAAAGGCATCATGACTTCATGCACATTTCTTGCTGGCCGGTCTACTTTTGATAAACACGAGAGGTCCCCACAAGCCGCACACCTCTCTGGGTGGCAGACTCTTCCTCGGTCTGCCGCCGACCTCATGAATTCAAGAAGAAAGCACTGCTGTTGTCTTTCTTGCGGACCAGAAACCAAAACCCTTCTCAATGTAAACGTTAAATTCTTTGTCGGCATGGCTACAGTCACGAAGTCTGAGATGATGACCGACATGCCGATTCATTCGCAAATTCCAGATCTGCAAAACCGTGCGTGCAGAGGTTCGCAAATGTTTGCAGTGTCCTTCAAGATACGATGGCGCATCCATCAAAAACTGAGCTGCTCGCGGCCACATCATCTTGCCCGTCCAAACTATTAACCTCCGTCTCCAGTGGCTGACTCCTACCACTCCTACTACTCCTACTACTCCTACTACTCCTACCACTCCTACTACTCCTCCTACTCCTCCTACTCCTACTACTCCTACTACTCCTCCTACTCCTACTACTCCTACTACTCCTACTACTCCTACTACTCCTACTACTACTACTACTACTACTACTACTACTACTACTACTACTACTACTACTACTACTACTACTACTACTACTACTACTACTACTACTACTACTACTACTACTACTACTACTACTACTACTACTACTACTACTACTACTACTACTACTACTACTACTACTACTACTACTACTACTACTACTACTACTACTACTACTACTACTACTACTACTACTACTACTACTACTACTACCACTACCACTACTACCACTACTACTACCACTACTACTACGCTGCTGCTACTCCTACTACTACTACTACTACTACTACTACTACTACTACTACTACTACTACTACTACTACTACTACTACTAACTACCTACTACTACTACTCTACTACTACTACGACTACTACTACTACTACACTACTACTACTACTACTACTACTACTACTACTACTACTACTACTACTACTACTACTACTACTACTACTACTACTACTACTACTACTACTACTACTACTACTACTACTACTACTACTACTACTACTACTACTACTACTACTACTACTACTACTACTACTACTACTACTACTACTACTACTACTACTACTACTACTACTACTACTACTACTACTACTACTACTACTACTACTACTACTACTACTACTACTACTACTTCTGCTACTACTACTACTTTCCTGCTGCTTTTCATCCTCCAGAACCTGCTAGACAATTGTTTTCCAACCGAGCACATTTGTCGGGAGGACAGACCCTGATTTGCCGCTCACTTGGTAGCAGACGTTCACATGGCCAAAGAGAACGCCCTGAACACCTTCGGCCTGAACAAATTGCAGGATAACTGCAGCGATTGTGCATACATTGCACGTGGGAGCTTGATGCATTCAAGGTACATGGAGGTATGACTGCTCCAGACACGCCTGCCACGCAGCAACTTGTTGGTGCACATGAATGATGCTGTCAGGGTGGAAGTTGACGCAAATGCTGGGAGATCCTGGGTGCCCCCGGCATGAAAGACGTTCTCTGCAAGTAGAACCCGGCCGCGTGCCAATGCGGACGCGTTCTGCTGCCGCACGGCGACATTGCTCATGCAAGCCACTCGTTGGATCACGTCTAGCTGGTGAGTTGGACTCTCTTTTGCGAATTTGCTGCTTTGTTTCTTCAGGAGCAGCACCTATGTTGCAATGGTGCTGGTTGTACCTGTGGGGTCATTGCAGAACCATGTTGGAAAGAATGAGTCGGGCCACTGAAACGCAGTCAGAGCAACAGAGTGGAATGAGTATGTTGAAGAAAGTTGGCACACGAGCAGTATGCGGCTTGAAAGCCTCCCACAGCCGTACTGTGCCATCAGCACTGGTGGATGCCAGTAGCAGATCATCAGGTGAGTAGGCCAAGCGCCAAATCTAAGTCCGAGTTCGACCATGCATGCTGAATCGATCTGCTCAAGCTGTGAGCTCAGGACCGTGTCCGCATGCCCAATCAGAGGGGCCAGCAGCTGATGCGTAACAAGACACCTGGGTGGAAAGCCGATGAGACGCACCTGAGCACTTTGGATGGACCAGAATAAGGCTCGGGCCAGAGATTGATCCTGTTGTCGCTAGTTGCTGTGGCCAACTGTCTCTGGTTCTTGGTGACCTTGCGCAAACACAACAGCCAGCTGCACAACGAGGCTACACCTTTCACTTCTGAGATCGAAACCGCAATGGTCCAAACGGGAAAGATTTGCTGGTACCTAGTAGCTGCTTTTCTCTTGCTCTACACATCACAAGCAGGGTCCAGTCTTCGTCTACATGCGGCAAATCGCTCTACGCGCACGTCTCCCCACTCGGATCAGGAACATTTGATGTGATGTGAAACCTGGAGTCGGTTCATCCCCATGACCCAGCGGACCCAGCATGCAGATAATTGATACACTCAAGAAAACGAAAACTGCCTTCGTCCCCAGGCCTTCTTCGAAGCGCCACCTGGCAAATGCCATTTCAAGCCCACTGCTTTCCGCACTTGGCAGTGTTTTGCATTCTTGAGCGCTGAGACGCCCGCTGCCCATGGTCTTTGTGCCACAGGTACGGACGGTCTGTCTATGTCTTTCTGATACTGCGCTTTGCATACATCTGTGCATGGAATCTCTGCTTCACCGATCTTCCCCGCTTCGTTCTGGTCGGCTTTGTAGGGCAGAGTCCCGAAGTGTGTTCCACGTACATGGTAAACAAAAAAAGACTACGAACTAACTGCCGCTGAAGCTGCTTGAGCAAGGTCCATGAAGGTCATGAGAATGGATGTGTTCTGAGCTCCGGGCGACACTCCACCTAACTCCATAGTGAAACAAGAATCCTTTGAGGCCACAGCCAAGTCTGCTTTGGCCTCGGCTGAAACTGTGGCACTTGCACAAACTGAATCGTTTTGGGAACCATGTACCACTGCCACTACCTCTCTCTCATTGGTGTCCACTTGGTGTCCACTTGAATCCTTTCGGCTGCCGGATGCAGGCCTTCTCCTTGTTCAGCTCTCCAGCAAGTCGGCTTTGTGAGGCACGAAGCTGCGACTGCCAAAACACACCCGCAACGTACATCAATGTACCACCACAATCCACGCATTATCCACGCTACTGTGCTCCCAAGCTCAATCTTGTTGGGGCCCTGGTTTTGCACTTTGCTACTTTGGCATGTCCATGCTGATTGCTGAAGTCTTCTGCATCCTGTCCAGGGCGGCCTAGTGCAGCCCGTGAAGTTTTGAAAGCGTGTACTTTCACAAGCTGATCCAAACTGGGTTCAATGGACCCAGGCGCATCAACGTGCAGGAGCTTTTCGGAGATGTCCCACCTCGAAGTCCAGCTTGAATTTCTCCAAGCGGGTCTCTTTCTCCAAGACCTGGGAGGAAATGCGGATGAGTTAGGAGGCAAGGGAAGCAGGAAGATTTTTTGGATGCACCTGCAGCTCCAAGTCCCGTCTCTCCTCGACCATACGACCCCGTCATCCGTTGGATGCTTGCAGGGCGACAAGATGCATCGCTCTCGGTTCTCAGGCCTGTTGATGTCGCTGCGCGGTATCCTCGATCTGTGCACTCAGTGTGGCCTGCGGCAGCTCTTGCAGTTCAAGCTGGGCCGGTTCATGGCAGGCAGGTGGACTGCTCGTGCGGCCTCCGTGCGCAGTGCACCTTCCAGGGCCTCTGTCACCTGCTTACAACATCTTCCCTCATGCAGCAAAGCTGACCACATGTTGAAAATTCTTGAACTTCACGGAACTTTGAATCCTCGTTCAACTCTTTGGACAGCTGCTTCTTGGCTTCCACCGCCTTGACTGGATGGTAAAAGATGCAATGTGCAACAGCCGTCGTTGGTAAGGACCCTGCGGCTGCGGCTTCTTGCGCTTCCGACCTGACATAAGTCAAAGAAGGCTTGGGCGGCTTGGGTACGTATCTGCTAGAAACAAGTCCGACCTCATTCGCTGCAGGTCCTAGCAACGCTTCTGTTGTCTGATGCTGCGGAGCATGATGCCCACGACGCATACAGCGAAAGCCTGCGCCTTACATGCTCTTCGCCCCCTGTGACAACCCTCGGCATCCCTCGGCCCACAGATGCCAGAATCGCCCGGAATTTCGGTGCATCGAGAGTCGACAAGCGTAGTGTGCAAATGTAGTCTGCGCACGACGTCCAGAGCGGCTCCTCCAAGCTCGATTCAGCGACTTTTCATAGTACGCCCGTAGTCCGATGGTGTGTTTGAAACAAAACATTTCAACTACATATATGCTCACAGCCCGGGCGCAACCAGGAAGGCTGCACACTGCTACGCATTCATGCATCGTGAATGAAATCGCCATGTGTCGTTGACGAGACAACACCGAAACCGCCCCCATCCATGAATATGAACTTCCAGTCACATGCCACCGCGAAGAATCTCAAACCTCAGCTTCCAGTGTGACATCGTGTTGCTCACTTGTTCGTCCTTGTCAGCCGCTTCTAGCTGGGCCTCAAAGCAGTGAACAGGCTTCTTGAAGCAGTGAAGGGACTTGAGATGACGTGAGGCGTGAGTAGTTAGAGTACGTAGTTCTTGCTACAAGAGATTTGGGGAACACCCGGGTGGCCTGCTTGACATGGAGTGAGCGGTTTGCCTCTTTGAGTTCTGACTGAATGCCATCCTTGAGTCAATCTGAACTCTCAAGCTTTGTCGCCGACAATGTCGCTACATGTGTCCGAATGTGTGACTTCTGGAATGTTTGGACAGCCTTCTCCCTCTCCAAAGCCAGTGTCTTTGCAGAGGTTTCATCCTGCACCTTCTCAGATTCGCTGTGGCGATCAGCTCTGGCCCCAGGAAAGCTGTCAGGTTTGCTGAGAAGAGCACTCGGCGCAACGACTCAACCTTGCAAGCGGTGCTGCGAGGTTCTTAGATAGTTTCTGCTAGTTCTGAAAAGTTCCGACAACTCTACACCTTGGTACTGTTGGACTCGCCTGAGCAGCGAGCATGCGACTCCCTCCATCTGTCATACTGCTCTTGGCTCTCCTACATTCTCGCCATGTCTTCTACATGTCTCCGGCCCCTACAACGGCAACATAGCGCTGGCCCAGTGCTCATCCTTGGCTTGTTGGGCCTCCTTCGCCAGCATTTCCTGGAGGACTAACGTGACCAATGCTTGAGATACAGTACCCGCAATGATGACCAAAGCAACTTCAGGGAAGCAATAAGCTCAAAGCCAAGCCTGCAGGTGCTGTCTGTCTGCCTCAAGCACTTCACGCTCTCGCGAGGCCTCGGCGTCCACGTGAACGGGCTTAGCCCAGCTTACGTGCCTTGCCCCATTTACAACGTGCAGAGACTGCAGCAAGTGCCTCCTTGGCAAGCTGGTTGACGGAAGTTTGCAGATCATTGACTTGGTCGTGGAGCGCTACGTTCTTTGTCTCAGCCTGGCTGGCATGCGATTTGCAACCACAGCAGCACTATTTTGCCGGCCGCGCAGAGTTCTCAGGGCCATCCGTCTGCATCAGTTAAGGACATATCTAGGGATTGTGCGGACCCTTGTTCGGGACAAAGCAACGTAAAGCAATGATCATGGGCTTAAGTATGGTACCAACATGCACACGTGCCTGCTGCAGCATCGCTGTGGCTTCAGACCTTTGGGCCTCCAACACACGACTTGCATTGCCCTCACATACCTTAACAAGACCATGGGCGAGCCCGAGCCTCAGCCCGATGCTGCTCGGATTGGAGTGTTAGCCTACAGTCGTGGTGTTGATTGGATTGATTGGTGTTGGACAGAAATGTCTGGAATGTTTGCGGGCGACAACAGCCTCGTCTCGGCCACTTCAGCAGCTAGCTGATCCCTTGCATGGCCTACATCCTGGAAATTCACGCTTGCGCCAACACTTGCTGAGAGAAGCGGCATGAAGAGACTGCATGTCCTGCAGCTGAAGGCGTACGGCACTTAGACTTGCTGCCGACCTGGTGGCACATGGCTTTGCAACTGTGGCGAGGGAATCACTCGCTGAAGATTCGGGCGGCCCTTGCAAAGCAATATTTTTTGACAGCTGCGCGGCACCCGAAATGCCATCGTCAATACACCTGGAGGCCTGGGCTACGCTGTCGCGCCAGCCTTCTTCTGATTACTGGCCTCCATGAATGCCTTTCTAGCACCAGGGCCATTGCATGGGCAGTGCCTGAGAACCACGTCAAGCACAGGCTTCACCACAGCATCCGGAACCTCTGTAGCCACTGACGCCAGGATTGAAACAACGACGTGCGACCCAAGGGCTAGGATAAGTGTGACACGAGTAATCGGAACAACCATGGCCGTGACGAAGCACGAGACAGTCAACCATGTGAGCCGGAAGCTTCCCGTGGAATGCTGGAGCTGGAATCTGCTGGCGCGCCATGTAAAGCAGCAAGCTGACATGTGCTGCTAGTCCATGCAAAAGAATCTGCGAAACTGGAAAATTCAACCACATGAAGGCTTGAATTATCACAGGAACGTTCCATCCTACGAAAGAAGCCCCCACGAATATGGGAGTTGGCATGACATGTCCACAGGAACCAGCGATGCGGTCGCTGGTGAAATGGGAACTTCGCCGGGCCTTGTATTTGCATCTTTGCCAAATAGCTGCCAGGAAATTAGAAGAGCCATGGTCAAAACCACGCAACGGACAATGCAAGACGCTAGCTGGCTCACGCCAATGAGAAGTGACCCTAACTGAACCTCATAAACCTCGAAAGTCAGTTGCGATCCGGGAAGTAGATATGAGCAGCTCCTGCTGGAAAAAATCTCGTCTGAACGGGGTCCATCACACCTTGCAGGCTACCAGTGCCACCCCAGTGACGGATGCAAGCTTGTCTGAATTTGTCTGCGTTGATGCCGCTGCCTAACTGCAGAGAATGTGATATTCCACCCAAGCAAGATGGTACGTCTGCCGCTGCACAGACACTAATTATGGATGATGTCCTCGCAACCATCATCAGAGCCATTAAAAGCTCTTTAGGACAGGGCCAGAAAGTGGGTCCGTGAAGGAGACATCTTGAAGACCTGCAGTAACAGACTGCGAGCCGTTGTGGAGGAGTCCCGAGGTGGCTCACGAGCTGCGCCGTGCAGGTTTGAGAGTGCCTCGCAAGTGTCCCTGACATCCCGAAACTTCCGCTGCAATCGATATACAGCATGCGTTGCCATCCGCAATTCTGCTCAAGGCCATGTTACTCAGTTTCGAATCTTGGTCATGGCCGCACCCACATTGCCAGCACTACAACCGCCAGTCTAACAAAGTCAGCACTGCTTGAGCCGAATGCGATGCGACTCCTGCATGCATCGCTTCCTCACTTCAGTTCAGTCTCAGATTTGGTGCTGCATGAATCTGGGCTACCGGGTGGCAGACTCAGCCAGCTGGCTTTTGAGGTTTGCAATCGTCTCTTCGCTTTGATGCCGCTCCTCTCAAGACTATATTGGCACCATCCACAGTTCCTGTATGCCACAAAGCAGCCCTGACAAAGGCAATAAGAATCAACAAGGCCTCCGAGAGCCTGGATTCCGAACCTAAGGTGCCGCGATGGAATCATGACGCGGCTGTACAAGTACAACTCGAGCACATAATAACATATCCCACGAAGGATACTTCGCACCATCTTGAAACTGGCACAGGAGTCGCTTCGTCCCTGAAAATATCTGAAGTGTGCTACGCTACTTTTGCCCCAAGCTTCACGAAGAATAGATGAGTAGAGATGGAAGACCTATGAAGACTTGAAGACGTCTGCAGTTGTAAGAGTAAGGAGTTTGGTTATCTTTTCACGTGGCTTGGGTTTTGCCATTTCTTGAAGCCGAAAATCAAGGACCCACATAAAGGCAAATCGTTCCAAGAGAAGTTTCGAAATCGTTCCAAGATTGCACATGCTTCGCCAATTCCTCACACTATTTCGCAGCTTCGCCTTTCGGCAGCTTCCACCTTGCGCTCAAATGTCCTCAGCTAATCGCTTTTGCCACTGTTGCTTGATGCATGTGTTTGGTTTATGTAGCAGCGACAGGGGCGGGGCAAACTCGAACGAATAAGACGTGAGATGTAAAAAACGAGGCAGGTCTGAGATGCCCTGAGCGCGTAACTCACCAGGTCCGTCTGAAGCTGACATACCTGTGCCTGGGTGCACAGGTGGAGTCCGCAAGCCCAACAGGAGTCCACATTTGTGGGCATGGGGTGCTCGAGGCCTCCAGCAGCGAGGTCTCCTGGCAAGTCGTCGCACAATCACACATAGCGTCCCAGTCCGAAGCACTCTCAGCCCTGTCGAGGCAACTCTTGGCAAAGTCTTGTGAAGCTTTTGGGGGGCGCCCATCTCCCGTCACCTCGGACTTCTTGCGATTTGTATCCTGCAAGTACGACATGCGCCATGGAACACGTGCAACCACACATGGGCAACGTACAGCAAAGCAAGACAAGCGTCTCCACCAGTGCACGAACTATTCAAACTTTGCGCTCCAGTCTCTATCCGAACGTGGTCCGAACATGCCCACATTTGCCCAAACTAGTCAACCTGATGCAGACTATTTGAGTTACAGCACTTAAGACAGCACAGTCAGCTCAATTCCACCTCCAGCTGTGCGAACAGCTGTGCTGTATCATGTGTAAGTTGCGCCTGAAAAGGAGCTCGAGTCCCGGCAGCCAAGTCGAAGCATTGAAGAGGAGTAATTTCTTACGCGGCACAGAGCCATTACCAGCCTGCAGGTGGTCTCGCTCACGCTGCAGTGCGGCAAGACGTTGATTCCAAGATGCCCCCTGCAGAACACAGGACACTGCACCGTCCTCACAGTAGCTTTCAGTGTCAGCCTTTGGCCGTGCTTTCAGGTGCCAGCAACAAAGCCTGTTTTCAGCGACATTCTGTTGGACGATTCTTCTGTCCAAGAAGTGCAACAATAAACAGCGAGCAGCCTGGCAGATGCAGAATTGGGGTGGCGGAAACCAGACTGGGTGGTAGGAAAGTGGAATTGAAACCAAGGGGAACTCGAACGAAAACGTGGGCAGATGGAAACCACATGCAGCTGTAACAGAAACCAGCCGGAACATGAAGCGGGAACCAAGTAAGGCTGCAACGGAAATCGGAAAAACGAAACTATCTTGCCGGACACTGGGCAGTATATCTGAAAAGCACAATGACATGGATTTGCCTGAAAAAACAACTCTAGAGAGTGAACCCTAAACCCTACAAGAATGCCGTTCTCATTCCCATATTGCTGTAGGATAGTTGCTCGTCATATACCTGTGTTTTGGGGCATGATAGCGTCTATCAAACTGCTGGGCACGAGTCAGAGGGGCTTCCCAAGCCTCCTTCAATCTCAGCTCCTGCTCGCCCAGGACGCGCAACTGGCAAAGAGCAGAAGCCGAATATCGATTTTTCATGCACGATCCCTTGCTCCTCAAAGAATCCCAAACAGCAGCGCAAGTTTGACACCTCGCCTCCAGCTCACGCGCCGCATCACTGCTGGCAACACGCTGCTCCAGCGAGTTCTTGACCAGAGCTGCGACAAGCGAGAACTCAAGAACTCACGCTCACATGGGAAACTTTGTCACATGGTGTCTTCCTCAGAGATTCTCATACAGCTAGACAATCAAACTGAAGCAAGCTGAAGCTCACTCTTCTTCCAGCCAGCTGAAGGCCAAGTCGTCTAGCCGTCAGCTCAAACGGGCTAGAAATGGAAAGTACGCTCATGCCAGTATACTGGTATACTTTCTAATGGCATCAGAGCAAACTACAAAACGACGCCCAGCAGTGCAGCGGCCAAGCACATTCAGACTGCCCACGGTGTATCAGTCCACGAGCTCGAAAACCGTTTCCTTGCAGCCGTGTTGTTGTGTTCAGCGTCAGTCCCAAGAGGCATCTAGTACGCAACTTCATCGCCAGTATCCAGCGGTTGTTGCTGGCATGCCCTTTCAGAGCCTGACGCCCAACTAAGTTTGAACAAAGTTGCTATCACACGCAGAGCTGCTTGACAAAACGCATGTTGATCACAAGATGTGCCACTTGTCACTGCAAACGACATAGCCGAGAGGAGGGAAAAGACACTGAAAGACCGTAACCTCTCTGAACGACACGTTGGCAATGTGCCAGACAGAGAGATGGGCAGTACCCGCGCAGCACAGTTCTTTGCTAGATCTTGCTAGCCTCAAGCAGCTCAAGCAGTAGCTCGCCACACAGCTGTGAATGACATGTACACGTCACACGCGAGTTTTTCACGTTTACATAGTGGCACTGCAGTTCGTCCCTGGGTCCACGTGGCTTCGCGCGGCCTATGTTCATTGTCATTTCAAATGACTTGTTCTGTAGGATGTAAGCTCAGCAACACTTACAAGGAGAACTTGTGTGAGGACGAAGAGAGGGTGAAAGCCATGACAGCTCAGCATGAGTAGTGTCCAGACGCGTCCAGGCATTTGAGGGCGGAGGCAAAAAACCGAATGACCGTTGCATTGCTTGCGCTGTTCTGCTGGCACCGAGTCACGCAGATCTCAGCAGTATCTGCAGAGTCAAATCTGCCAAGCTCCATATACAACTTACATGCTCCAAGCTTGCTAGTTTTGGCGGAGCAGAATGCTTTGACACACTTTGCGCCCTGGAACCTGTCATGCCTACCAACACTCGTTTCAGACAAGCCCGCAATGAACGCAGGCTGCGCCATGGAAGGCTCCATTCGCTAAGATTCATGGTGCAGGCTGTGGCCTCACAGTAATCGAATGTCGCATCATTTTCTCGAAAACCTCTTATGGCTCGTCTTCAACATGAATCATGGCTTGAAGAAGAAGTGTGTGCTTGGAAGGTTAATGCTGCACCTGCAAAAGTCGGGGTCTTGCAAGTCAAAGTTGCGGGGTTAAATATTCAGGACAGTGTGACTGTTTGGGGTGCGCGGTGGGATCCTGTGCGAAGTCGGGGTGCTTTTGCAACAGAAACCTTGACACTTGGCGGAAGCTATGGAAACAGGCGGATCAAAACAGGAGGCAAGTGTGCAGGCAGAGAGCAAATCACAACAGAAATGTTGCATAGAAGACAGGGTGGGCGAGACAAAAGAAGGAACGCAGTCTGGAGCTGGTCCTTTTGAAGACTCAGCTTGAATTGATGACTCCGGAGGACACTCTGCATGTAGTGCCTCAAGAATAGACCCTTCTGGACCCAAACAAACCGGGCCATGCATGCTACGGCAGGAGATCAGAATGTGAAGGCAGTTCATGGTGCTGCTAGGACCTAGGACCCCACAACTTCAGCATTCCGGCTGAAGCAAAGCAAAATGCAAATTCATCAAAGCATATGCAAAGGGTTCGCTCCCGTCTCTTCAGGTGTTCATTTTGCTTGCATACATCTCCACATCTCTCCACCGACAACACAACAGCCTTGCATAGCCTTGCTGTCCAGTAGCTGCGCACGATGTCTGTGGCCGGTCAGGCGGATGTACCTTCTGGTGAGGCTCAGCCACCTACGCCAAGGCCAAAGATCAATCATGAACTCACGACTCACACTTAATGCCAAAGACGCCTTGCTGCCAGCGGATGGCATAGAAACGCCTTATGCCACCGCGATGCACGGCCAGTCTCGTCACTAGACCAAGACACGCAAAGACACCAGGAAGCAATCAACATTCTGAGATGTGCGACCGACTGGCTGTGCATTTGCCTGCGCCCTCTGCCTTGCAAGCAGAACTTGCACTGTGAAGATAAGAGCACGACTGAGCAGCAGACAGCAGCCATGCAAGTTGTATTAAGTTGCCTCAAAATGTCTTCCTTGGTTGGGCGCTTCGGCTCCAGCAACAGCATGTGCCTGGCTTGCTCTGCAAATCTCTGCATGCGATGCCCGGTGCCAAACTAGCAGGGTTTGCTCAGGTGCCGCATCCCAAGGTTCCGCAACGCCTGGCCTCCATTTCACTCTGGAAGAGCGAAGCTCGGCACACGAAAACATAGGGCCGCCACAGATGCAAGGCTGCTCGGGCGACAAGATCCGATTTCTCAACGCAGTCGGAAAAGTCGATGCCTACAGAGCAAGTTGCACAAACACCTTTGCCAGCGCATGCACTTGAAATGAAGCTGATTTGGACACCCAGAGCCAACTTCCAGCGACGGAATTCAAGAATGTCTTCGTTCATCAGCCCAAGTGTTGCAAGTCCCTCTTCACATGGATTGATGACATCTAGTGTCTGCACTGTACATTCTGCATTTGTGAAGCTGCAATGACGTGGGAGTCCATCAGCTCTCAGCAAGCGAGCACTTATGCAATTGCTGACATAGTCAAGGCAACCATAGGCAACCACAACTGGAGGCATCTCGACAATCCGTCGCGGCCATGCCTTCTGAACGGAGCAAATCTCGAAGGTCTCTCACTCCAAGCGTCTGTAGCTCCTGCAAAGATAGAGCGGTTTTTGAATGCCGGTGGCCAGCACACTCGGCTCCTCCATCGAGGATGGCACACATCGAGCCGGTGGGTTTGGATTCTTTGCGGCGTTGAAAAATGTGGAGAGCCTCAGAGGGAAGCGGTAGAAGCAATGCCTCCCGTGTTGTTTCTTCACCATCGTGTCAAAGCAGCTGTTGATGCGCCAGGCTGTGGCCCAACCTTTGAAGCAAATCCATGGCAATGCCACAGACACAGGTTCACAGCCAAGCAAGTAGGCACGATGTAGCATAGTAGAAACCAAGCGTGAGACGCCGCTGACTTTTGTGCCCATTTCAGCGCTTCCTGATAGTCTACCTGCGGCGCCGAAGTGCACATAACGTGCATGCTGAGTACACATAATTCGTCCGCAACTTCCGTGCTTCAAAGACTGCTCAGCAAGTGTGTCCTTGACACCACCACTGCCACGCAAGAGGGCCAAACCGTAGTTCAGCATGCCCTCTCAGAGCAACTCAGACAACGGATACATCGGATGCAGGTGCATTCAGGCCAATGTAAGCACAGGGAAATTTCACAAGACGTCTCGAATTGTGCCGATCCACGCAGCCTCTGCAGCACCTCGCTTCGCCGCATGGCGGAACAATCGAACTGCTTTTGCTTCGTCCTTCACCACTCCCATGCCTGGATCATGACAATGACACACTGAGCTAGTGAGCTAGTCTCTCATGATGCACAACAGCTGCGGCACAACAGCTGTGGCGGTGAGATGCAGCCAAGCACCGTTCACGAGCAGGTGCCCCAGGTTGCTTAAAGCCTGGCGATTCTGCGAGCATCGCAGCATCTTTCTCAAGGCTCACGGAATCCGAAAGACTTTTACGTTTTACGTCTATCCATACGGCGCAAGCATGGCACGTGCTTCAAGAGATCTCCGAAAGGTTGACCGGAGAATTGTGCCAGTTGCGCCTGTGCATCCCCTTGATGAGCAGCCCACTTGGTGTAGACAAGCGACTGCTGCAGATCCTGTACTACCAATTCCTGCCCGTACTTCCGCAGGCTGTTTCAAAATGCCGTTTCGGCCTCGTGCTGTCTTTGGCTGGCTCCCAGTCGTTGCTTGTTTGCTTGACTCAGCCCTGATCTTTCGTGGTTCAGCGCTCTGAGGGCTCGCACTGCACATTGGATTATGTAGTCCTTGTGCTTGTCCACACCCCCTACCGCTTCACAACATTACGGAGATTGGGCGTTTGTAAAGGACATCTCTGGCCATCACTTCCTTTGGGCTTAAGATTTGCCAGCTATCAATTCTTCGGTGCTGCGTTCAGGGTCAGTGGGCCATCACTCCATCTAGGCTCGAGGGTTTTGCTGGGCATCAACCCTAACTGACCATACCGACTTCCCGAGAGCAGGAAAGTCACGTCCTGCAATCTTGCAAAAGCTTTGCGGGTTCGCATTGCATTGACGTTGCAGAGCCCACCCCCTTCTTTGAAACATATGCCTGGAAGAGATGCTCACCCCAAGGAGACAGCATCATTCCGGTCCTTGGGGAACTTGTGCTGCCCTTCCCTGTACATTTCTGCCACCTCCAGAACACAAATTGCTGCGGAAGAAAGAAGCAAGCTGTCTGCAGACTTTTGAAAGCTGCGGTCCTGAAAACATGCTCGCGGGTGTCCCTTCATACACGCTGCGAGCATCTTCGTTGCCTTGGCACAGGACAAGATCCAAAACGACCACACACGACCAGGCGCCAGAGCCAAGGCCCCGGCACCGTCTCGGTCACCTTCCTGTAGCAATGCCTGGCCCAAGAGGAACCTAAGCATCGGCATCAAGCAAAACATGGGCCTCAATAGACGTCAAGAAGTCCTTCTGTGGGTTTTGAGATACCCGCCCTGCATCAACTTCATCCTGTTCGAAAGCCAGACGCAACAACCGTTTGCCTTCGAAGACATCCTGCCAGAAATGTGTCATGTGCTTGACACACTGCCTTTGGGCACAGTAGCTGAAACAGGACATGATCGAGAAACTACGTACGACATCGTAGATCTTCACAGGCTCCTGTTGGACTCGACCAGGCACACCCTGCAGCAGAAGGCCACCGTAGCGGCTCTGTGACCTCACGTGCCACACTCCCGCGACATTCATGCAACACATCGCGATTCATGGCGCGGGAACACATGGAGGCCGTGAACAAGCACAGGCCACGACCGGCCATGCCCGATCTCTGAAGCTCTTCGCCACAACGACAAGGCGGTGCTAGCCGACTCCTTGCTTGGCGAGGCATCAACTTCATTGCGGTTAGATTACATGTAGTGCCTCGAAGTGCTCCTTGTCACCATCATGCATCATGCCTTCTACTTTGTCCCCAATTATACACCAAAAAATCCGCCCACCAAGACTTATAAGGATCCATAGAAGGATCCATATACCCTCATGAAAAACCACAAGTACAACCACACCTTGCGTGCAGCATGCATGTCCCCGCAACAGATGTCCTGCAATCCAGATCCCGGAGGAGGCTCCCAGCACCACTCTGCTGCAGTGAAGAGTGCTTCTGGGTGGTCAGCGTCGCCTGCCTCAAGGAGATGACCCTGTGGTCTCTCACTGCTTCCCTACAGCATGACCCTTAATGGACCATCATCTTTGGTGACTTTGGTGGGTCGCAGCTGTTCATGCTGGGCTTTGTTACATTGTTGTGTCTTCGCCGCATGCCTTGTCCAACAAAGCCTTCGCGCGTCTAAAATCTTTTCCAGAAGCCAAAGACAATGCCCAACCATAAATCGCGGAAGGGTCGTTGATCTCCACTTGAGTCCTAGCGAGACAAGAAAGGGGCAAGTAATGCCGTTGTGACCAGGTCCTAGTGTTCCCTCAAGTCTCCCTCCTCACAGCCTCGCCGTTTGGCACTTTGTTCCCGACAACACTCTAGCCCACTGCGTATGTCACCTCTTTGCTTGCACCGCACCACCAACATCCTGAGCTCATGTGTTTCACTGGAAAGGTCTGATAGGGGGGGTGATCGTGGCAAGCTCCTGTACCAAGGACAGGTTCCATCCAGCGCAGCTTCTGCTGAATCTTTGAAGTGCAGGACAAACTCATAGCGAAATCCATCTTGCACGTCTGTCCCATGATGAAGATCATACTGAAACATGCACAGATCTCCTCGTTCCAGTTGCACAAATCTTCTATCCAGAAAGGCCTTCCCAGAACCTTGAACAAAGAGGCCACCAGTACAGGCCGAAGGCTCCTGCAGAGAGATGACGACCATAGCAAATGCGCCGTGTTCATGGTGCGGAGCAATGAACCGTCGTTCCTCTGGCACGAAACGCCTGAAGAGCGCAGATGAAAGCGCAGCCGTTGGGCAGCCATACTGCTGCCTTACCATAGGTACCAGGACCGTTTCAACCAGGGGCCGCAGCGCTGGGGACGAAGTCTGCATCTCAGAAAACATGCCGTTGTCAGCAAGCTTCACGGCAAAACTCGGGTGACCATCCACAGGGTCGGGCTCCCTTCCCCGCCCACTCCGAATCTCCTCGCTGAGAACTTGACTGCAGGTTGACAGCAGCTGTGCCACTTCATTGTCTGTTAGGACGCCCTTGAAGACAGAGAAGCTGGCATGCTGCCCATGCATGTACGGCTTTGGCACAGATCCACGGTATTCCAGCGCGCCATATCGACCACCTGCTGCGACGCTTCGCGGGGGCTGCGCGAAGATGTACGGTCGCACCTGTAAGGGTGTGCCGTCCCGAAATAGAAACTTTCAGAACTAGGCCCATGTTGCCCCCATGTTCAGAAGCCTAAGGTCACGGCCGGCACAGCTGCCACAAGCTGGTCAATGGCAGGCCAGGAGCCAGCAGGGCCTGACCCTTCGCGCTCACCCTGCGAATTACAAGCAAGCATGTGAAATGCGCCAACGGCATGCAGAAAGACTTCCCCGCTGCTGCACACAAATTCGAAATATCAGGACATCCCGTGGCGTCTCCTCTGCTCCGGCTCTGTACCCGAAGTTCCCTTAGCTCGGGGCACGTCAACGCTCACGCAAAGAGTCGTGACTGGTCGGGCGAGAGCCTTTGCCGGCAGTGCTGGCCATCATGGTTCCAGCCTTAGCGAACTCGCGGCAGCTGAGAACATCGGTACTCTTTCTTCTGAGGTGTCTTACGAGATGCAAACCTTGTTTTGGACCTACTGCTCCATGCTTTTGTGTGGCACTTGTGCATGAGAGCAAATTATCCGTCCTGCGCTTGCTGCACGTGGGTTCAGCAGTCATGTTTTACGAAAAACAAGGTGCTCCATGTCTTGTCAGTGCTAGGTTTACGGACCCACGAAGTCTCAGGGTGCTGCGACTGTCCATGGCACCGAGGTTCCACTGCTGAAGCCGTATCTTCATCACAACGACAGAGACTGCTGAACCGTTCTTCAGCTGTCTGTGCAACTGTTATCTTTACAAGTGGGGGGGGTATCTAGCCCTTACCCCTTCCCCTCTAACCCCTTATGACAATGCCTTCAAGCATCTACTTGACAGTCGTTGCGGTGCACATGGGGAAAGATGCATCTTTTCTGACATTGGTTGTCCCAGGATCACCGGTCAATCTCCTGCAAGGATGGCGGCTGATACGTGGACTTGGCCGTTTTCTCAGCTTCTCCTGAAGCTCCTGAGTGCTACGACCATAAATATCTCCAGCCATAGCAACTACAGCCACCCTGTGATGCACAAGCTTGTCCGGTGGGGAAGGGCTGTTAAGACACCTTCCGTGCATTGACGCAACGAGTTCTCTTTGAACTTGGCTGGCCATCCAACTGGCCCCGCGTGCTAAGAGCATCCTCTCTAGCATGATTGGCATCCTTGTGCACAACCTTCTACTTAAGTTCCCTACGTGGTGAACATCTGCGCATCTGTCCTCGCAGGCCCAACGTGCTTCTGAGGATGTGATAAGTGAAACGAAGCTTCGGATCCGTCGGGCATTGAAAGACTTCAGACAAGATCAATTTCGGGCACGCCCGGGATCACTGCGAGCACCATCTTGCGCCCTCTTTCTCCTCCAGCCACTCCACCTGGGTAGCTGATGTTAGCGCGTGCATGCGCGTGCCTTCAAAAGCCTTCAAGCACAAGTGCCACAGATCCTGGCCGCTGCTTCCACAGTGCTTGTACGTTTCGCAGCTTCCATCGCCTCCAGGAGCCCACAAAGGATGTCAACGTGTCAAGGTTCTGTCAACACAGAAGTCCGGAGTCAGCGAGGATTCAAGGCCTGATGCCAGGAATAGCCAAGCTGCTCCGTCAGCTTTCGCACGAGCCCGTTGGATGCCTTCCATGCTGCACATGACATGCCTGAAAGATTCTGGAAGGCCGATGCACCTGAGATGTTGTAGAGCGTCCTGCAGCAGAGCCTCCGCCAAGAGCACTGGGCTGTCTCTTGATCCCACATGCTCCGCAAGGGGCCAGAAAGCGCAGCTGAGTCTTTCGGATTCTGAGACCAGGAATTACTAAGTACTGGCACGGAATCACTTGTATGCTGCGCTGAGCAAGCTCCTTTTGCCGGAAGATTATTGATCTATGTGGGATCGCACTCCAGCGTGCCCCGCAAAGCACCGGTGCCTTGATGCGACTGTCCATCGGATGAACTCTGCCTTTGCAGAAAAACGGTGGAACCATGTGGAACCGCATGGGTGACACAGGGGTGGTCTCGAGGCCCAGGCGAGCTGCCCGTCGAAGACCTGGACAGGGCGGAGCTGAGCTGCAGGAAGATTAGGAAGCCTGCAGAAACAAATGTCACCTAGCAACAGCTTTTGCAGCAGGTCCGCGATGGTCCTGGCTCTGAAGCCAGACGACAAGCGACCGCTGGCGACACATCCACAGTTGCACTGGGCACTCGCTGTCCGGCCGAAATACGCGAGGGACTGCGTGATCTGCATACCCTTTGCCATCCTGGGCATCTACGATCTGGTCAAGTACTTGAGCCTCCTCCACCTTGCCTGTTGGCGATGGGCTCCTCTCGAACCTTGGGGGATCAGAGCACATCACGCTGGCAAGCCATTGGATGCGACACATTCGGACACGGAAAATGCATAAAAGTATGAGCGGATGACCAGCATCAAGCAATATTAAGCATCCCTCAGGATCACACCGGGGTGCTTGACCGGACTCACAGGATCGTCAAGCGATTTCAATCTCTCCTGGCTCCAGCCTTGGCAGTTGTCTGGTGCCCAAACGGCTCTGTCTGTGTCACTCTGTCACTGAGAGTCTGAGAGTCAAGCGTTTTTTGCTAGGGCTGAAGGAGCTATCAAAGGCTGCTCCAAATGCCACCTCACCCTGGCCACATCAGATTGAACTCCAGCAACTTCTAGGCAACAAGAGGACAGCTGCGAAAAGCGCCTCGGGCATATCGTCAGAGGAGCTATCACTGTGCGCGACGTCCGGGAGAAAACCCTGGGCCACTCTTGAGGCCTTGCACGCACATCCAGGCTTTGAAGTGAAGCGCGTCCTGTTTGTCTGAAATGCAGATGCACATGCAAATGTATGCAGATGTACGCAAACAATCTGCGACCCTTCTTCTAGCACCCCCCAGAATCAAACCTTGGCAGTTCACGTGCGACAGTCATCCGGTCGACACATGGAGCCGAGGGAAGTGCATCCAAGGCCGGTTTCTCAAACGCGGATGGGTCCAGGCAGGTCCTCCAGGTTCATCGGCTCTGCACATCTTTGCATGAAATTGTAAGCAAGCTGCCTTAGAAAGGGGGGTCCTCGGCGGCTGCAAGAGATCCAGCCGAGTGCCAGGGGGAAGCAACTGGCACGTGAACCACAGTACGCACAGAACGCCGGCATGCTTCATCTTCATCTTCTCAGCAAGCCAAGCACCTGGTCCGACTGAGCACCAGCCTCATCTGAGCAGGACGAGGGTGCCCAAGACGAAAGAAAGCTTCGAAGGCTGGCACCGGTATCTTGGGTGGAGCGCGCGGCGTCTCGATCTCCAACTGAACAAAAGACAGTTCACACAAGTCACAGAAGCAAGGGAAAGGGTGGAACCGCAACATGGCTCCCTCATCACTTGCATCTTGTGTCACTTGTGATCTTTATGTATGGCTTCTGAGTTTAAGCCCTTGCGGCTTTGGGGTTCGGGTTTGAGGTTTGATGGATTAGCCTCCTGCTTTAGAAGTTTGGGCAGCAACAAATGACAAACTCACGCAGATTCTTGATGCAACGTCCAATGACAACTCGAGACCCTCTCAGCCGAGTTGAAACTTGCAATGGGGCTCTGCGCTGCTGAGGGACCAATCGGTTCTGTCCATGTTGCATTCAACAGAGATGCCCAGAACATCCTCCACGGGCCCCAGTTCTCACCAACCGCCCAGTTCCCTCCGGAAATGATATCCGTGCCCTGGCGACGTGTGACCCCTCGTACGCACAATAAATTTCACCCACCAACACACACAGACAGGCAGACAGACAGACAGACAAACAAACCAAACGAGCAACAAAAGACTCACTTCCAACCATGCACGTCCCACGTCCGCGCACCTTGACCAGTAGCTCCTTGCCTTCTTCGAGACGCCATTTGCCCTGACGCGCTGACTGTGATGATACAGGAAAAAGCAGCAATTGCAGTGTCAACATATCAAGCATATCAACTTATGCAATATCAACATCCGTCGCAGAACAAACAAGGGGCATTCACAAGTTCAGCCTCGCTTCGCATCGATGCCACTGAGGAAACCGACTGCAACAGACGTTGCATCATGGCGACTGCACGTTGCTAAGTCAATGTCGGACATGTGACAAGTATAACAAGCCGCGCCTCTCTTTCCCACACACTTGGAGTATCCTCTTCCACCGCCTATCATCGACGCAGTGCAGAACTTCAAGCCCATAGTCACTATAGTCTCTGAACAGCATTGCTTGAGTCCAAGCGAGTTGGCCTTGACGTTGATCATACGGCTGCTTGAACTGTCAAAGCCAGTCATCGGAGAATCAGAGCTCTGGGATGACGTGGATACTCGTGGAATTCCGTGGAGCACAGGGATGCACAGGGTATACGGGGCATGCGGGGCAGTGCCTAGCTGAGCACGCATCAAGCCCACCTGAGGCTGAAGAGCCTTCCACGCGGCACCGTTTTCTAGGCTTTCCGGATTCCAACGTCAAGATGATTCACACTCTCTGGTGCTCATTACTGATCATTCATGCTCATTCATGCTCATTCATGCTCATTCATGCTCACTGATACTCATTGCACATTGCAGTCCACTTTGCCTCGCGGCTTTGGAAAAACCCCAGGACTCACAGGACTGATTTCCGAATCCTGAGCAACAGCCACTGCGCAAGCGCTGCGGCGACAGATCACGATGGCATCTCAGGATAATGCCGTCATAGCAAAAGCAGCAGCTGTACCTGGCACGCAGAGGGAGAAAGAGAGAGACAGAGAGAGAGAAGAGCGCGAGGGGAAGAGAGAAAGAGAGAGAGAGAGAGAGAGAGAGATCCTGAGCGAGAGCGAGAGCGGGAGAGAGAGGCCCCGGAGTCGAACACCAGTAGCGAAGTCTTCTAGACAACTATGTGGCTTTAGCTTAGGGAATCCTCGTATTTTTCGTACATCTTGGCATGTCAACGATGAAGGACACTCGATGGCGTAGCTGTCGACGAGGACCAGCTACCCTTGCAGGGAGAGCTTCCACCTGCAAACTGGAAGACTTGTGAAAAAATGCTCAAGTAGCGTGAGCTTGCTCAGTGACTGTGACTGAGCGTACCGATGATTTGGGGCTTCGCCTCGGCAAAGGATGGCAGATCTATTGATGACCACACCGACTTTGTGGCTTTCACACCAGGCTTCGAGCAAGAAGCTGCGCGTTGCCTGGTTGCAGTACCGAAAACTCCTGACAACCGCAGAGGGTGAATTCTCGTTTCGTTGCAAGGGGCCATAGAAACAAAAGCGTCACTTAAGTTCATTAGGTTCATTCGGGCTGAGTTGCAAAAAATGCTCACAGGCCTTTGGAGTGTCAGCACTATCAGTAGGCAGCGCCCTTGCGTTGCACAGATCATTGCTCACTAGCTCCAGATGCTCCATGTCTGTTTTATGTGAAGCCAGCCACCTCTTTTGAGAAGACTGA